AAGACCCATGGGGAGGTTAACAATGGCAGCTTTTATCTTAATTTTGATTTTGCTCTTTTCCTCCCAGACTTGTCTGACTGCTTCTGACCCTTTTCTATGGGTCCCCGCCAAAATGTACTTTAGACTTGAGGCAAGCTTTTGGGCCTTGCTTTGGGCCAATCCTGTTTGGGTGGACTTTTACCCACAAGGGGACGGGTAACTGGGTGCTTGATTTAAAAATTACATTCTTTGTCTTTTCTGTATTCACACTAACTGTATTAAATTTCCTTTACATTAAAGGTCTTAAATATTTTGTCTTGATTTAAAAACTATATTGTCTCTTCTGTATTGCACATTAATTGTATTAAAGTTCCTTTCCATTAAAGGTCTTGTATGTTTTGTCTTGATGCAGCGGATGACAGAATCTATTTAGAACAGGCAGGTTTGGGGGTTCTGAGGTACCCCTCTCCTTGCCCTGTAACAAGATGAGAAATGAGACAAGGAGTTAAAACAGTGAAAAGAAATTCCAGATTTAGGAATGTCTGAAAATGTCACGTAGACCAGGGTGCAACAAAGCCCAGAATGCTACAAGAAATCTTAACTTCACCTCTATCTAAATAATGGCTTTTGGGCCTCCCTGGTAGTGCAAGGGATTAAGACGCAACCTATGAAGCTATCAGCAGCCACTGTGCATGAGTTCGATCCCCAGCCAGGGAGATACCCACATGGCACAGCAGACCTCTCCTGCCTCGCCCGCTGTTCCCCTCAGCAGTGTGATTCAGTCCATCTGCCTGTTCTGTTTCCCACTCTGTCTCTGATGAATTCTCTCACCCCCACACCTCTGGCCTGCTCCCCAGTTCTTGTATGCATAAATAAATCTTTTTTAAAAATGGCTTTTATAACAAAGAAAATGTGTGTATGTGTGTCCTTATGTGGATGACGTAGGTGGCACTGAGTACCATGTCTTCCAGTGTCTAGCACAATGCTAAGCACAATGTAGTTGCTCAAAGTATATTTTTGAAATGAAAAAGTGAATGACTGAGTGGACCAGGCGTCTCTAGACTCTCACCCACTGACTTGCCAATGTCTGAAAATAGTTCACTAAGGGTAGCACACTGTGGTAAGCTGAATAATGTTCATAACCTCCACTCCCTATCCCCTCCCCCCAAAACATAGTTCTGGAACCCGTGAACATTACATGATATGGAAAAAAGAAAAATTCTGAAGATGAGATTGGGTAAAGCATCTAGAGATGGGGAGATTTTCCTGGACTGCCCAGACGGGCTCAGAATGCAACCATATGCCTCTTCTATAGAGGATATTTGACACACAGCCAGAAGTCAGTGTGACCAGAGGGGCAGAAATTGGAAAAATGTGACCACAAACCAAGAAATGCAGCAGATACCAAAGCTGGAAAACGCAAAGAATGGAAACTCTCCTCAGGCCTCTGGAAAGAGCATTGCCTTCCTAACACCCTGATTTTGGCTCAGTAAGCTTACTTCTGGCCTCCAGAACTGTTAGAGAATAAATTCCAGTTGTTTTAAGTCACCAAGTTCATGGTCATTTGTTACAGCAGCTGCAGGTACAAGTTTTGGTACTAGGAAATGACGGGTTGCTGTAATAGATACCCCAAAATGCGGAAGTGGCTTTGGACCTGAGTTGCTATAATAGATACCCCAAAATGCAGAAGTGGCTTTGGGCCTGAGTAACGGGTAGAAGCTGGAGAATTTTGACATCCATAATAGAAAAAGCCTACTTTGCTTTAAATACGCTGTTGATAGAAGTGGGTCTTACAGATGCTGCTAGTGAGGACTCAGGAGGAAGGGGCATGGAAGAGAAAGTTTATATCATCTTTAAGATATACATGTTATTATAAACAGGAATCTGAACTTTAAAGGCCAGCTGGTGAGCAATCAGATGGAAATAAGAAAAATATTGTGGAGAGTGGAGGGAAGGAGATGCCTATTTTATAGTGGCAGGAAGTCTAACTGCATTGTACTCCCCCAGAAAGGGGAACATGTAAGCTGCAAGCTCAGGTATTACATTGAGATTTCCAAGCACAATGAAGAATGTGCAACCTGGTCTCTTTTGTAGCTTACTGTAAAATTTAAGAGCAAAGAAATAATTTGAAAAAAGCACTATTAAGTAAAAAGGAACCTGGACTTGATGATCTGGGAAATTCTTAGTCAACCCGGATGGTAAAAGATGCAAAAATCAATATTAGAAAAGCAGTGCGCTCTGAAGAGACCAGGGTGTAGGTGGACAATCGCAGCTCGTGCCCTGAGAGGATTGAAAGGTCAGAATATTTCCTCACACAAAGGGTTGAAAAGATTGAATGTGTGTCCCATAAAGCCCCTAAATCATCTCAGCAGAAGCCAGGAATTGGGATGAAATAATCAGGAAAATGGATGGAGAAGCTCCTGGTCTAATGTCATGAATCCACTTGACATACACAGGAGACTTAAGAGGTTTTTAAGATTGTTATATCAAGCAGATACCCTCCCAGCTTGGACTCAAAGAGACAGAAACAGGACAAAATGAAAGAAGGTTGCTAACCTCTCAAAACTCTACAGACAAGCTTTTCCCTAAGCTACCCAATTTGTGACAAATTGTTGCAGTCACCACAGGAAATTAATGCTCACACATTAGGTGCTCAATAAGTCATTTTAATCAAATCAAATCATAATGAAGGTAGGACCAATATGGTGAAACAGGCTCCTTGCTTCACTCCTGAGAGGATCACCTAAGAGTTCATTGGAGGAACACTACACCAAAGTGTCCTGTGGCTTGCAACAAAACTGGGACATCTCTTAGGCATCGGAAACCAAGACAGATGCAACAGGGAAGAACGCCAAGCCTCACTGAGCAGGAAGGGAGTGGAAAAATACCTGAAAGCTCTGCTGCAGAGCTGGGGACATAGACAGTGGTGTGCCATTCAGCCAAAGGACCTGGTGATGGGGGAGCTAAACAGTGTGGAAGCATATACACTTGACTAAGGGGAAAGGTGTGGAGGAGCCAGGGTGCTCCACACAGACCAGAATTCTCTGGAAGGAGAGATCAAAGACTGTGCTCTAGACTGCACCCCACCCCAGTCACTCCCACCCTCAGGACTGGCACTAAGGACACAGAGTCTGAGTCACAGATCTGGAACTCCAGAGAGGTCTATCACCCAAGCCACAAGCTTCAGCCAGCCACCAACCCTCCAGGCCTCCACCACCCTGCTGAGTCTGAAACTGCAAAAATCAGGTTTTAGCACCTACAGATACTAATAAAGGTCAAAAAAGGGAGAAAATAAAACTATCATACCACCTGCAGGAAAAGTAAAAGTAGTTCAGTACTCTAAGTTACTACTAGATGTTTTTTAAAGATAAGGAAATCTAGAGCTAAATAAATACAAGCTTCCCTTACACCCCAACTCTGTGTCCCCTCCCACCTCACTAGTCTACTCAGGCCAGCCCTGATTTCTTCCTCTCCCTTCAGTTTTGCCAAAGAGGATTTTTTCAGTTTTGTGGTTTACAAAACCTTTAAAATGCTGCATTCCATATTTTTATCTCCAGCCCTGGCTTCTCAATTGAGCTCCAAATTTCTCAGTCAGATGTTTATTTGACATCATCTGGAGGTCTAATAGTAACAATGACAGCCAAACAATCCAACTGGCTTTCTTTCTCAGTTATGACATGGCAACCTTCACATTTGCTGTTCCCTCTAACTAGATCACCCTGCACAGGATTTTTTTTAGTAAAGATTTATTTACGCATCCAACAGTGGGGGTGCAGACCAGAGATGCAGGGGGTGAGAGGATTCACCAGAGACAAAGTGGGGAGAAAAGGCAGATCTACTGAAATACACTGCTGAGGGGAGCAGCAGGCGAGACAGGAGAGGTCTGCTGCACCATGTGGGTTAGCTACCTGGCCAGGGATTGAACTTGCCCGTAGCATAGGATCTTTCAATCCTGACTCCATCTAGTCATTGTATCTTTACTCCAATGTATCACCTTCTCAAAGAAGCTCTCTGATCACTCAATTCACTCATCGTCCCCAGCTCCGGCCTGGTTCTATCATAGTACCTGTTCTAAGTGTTGTTATAGCATTTATCACTATTAGAAACCGTCTGTGCTTACTGGTTAATTGTATATCACTTCTCCTTGCACCTACCCGTACTTCCTTCAAAGTGTCTTTAAAGTGAAGAAACATGCTAAAAGACAACGCCAGAAATAGGTTTTTCACTTTCTATCCAGGGGAGGAAACACATTTTGCAGGTGACATATTATAGAATGCTTGGAAACATAAAGACACTTTATGCTAGGCATTCAAAGATGCCGAGGACAGAGTGGTGAATAGGGCAGACAAGGGGCATCCTGAGATGTCTGGCACATAGTGGGAGGTTTTAATACAAAATTCTATCAATTGATTCCTTTTAGTCCACAGAAATTACATTTCTGATTATGAATGGAAAACAATTGAGCCATTCCTTAGAAGTGCCTACTTTATTAATTTTTTTGGGGGGGGAATATCAATACATAAACAATAATAATGGATATGAATGTGGAAGCACTAAGTTTACTCAATCAGGAAATCTGAGTGTACTTGTATTTATAGGTTCCAACATAGTATCACTCAGCCTACCATACTACTCTTTTATGTTCCCAAACAGTTAAAAAAAAATCCTAGTCAGAAAACTTGCTTTGGTTAGCTTAAAAGCAAAACTGGCATTCCAGTTATGCCACATATAACTCCTTGAGGTCAATATCCCTAAAATAAAAATAGTCTTTTGGAAGTAGATCCCTATTAAAAAGGCAAAAGAAGTATGGATATAACAGTTCTTCCAAATTGTCAGGAAAGTTCAGATTCAAAATATCATTCTTAGATATGATCTATATGGGAATCAGTTTCAAAATATCATCTCAAAGTCTTTAAATAAAAAGGATTACGATTTTACAGACTTTGTATAAATATATCTTCAGTGTCTGATGGTCTTCTCTATTCTTATAAGAATAGCTTTTAATTAATTTTTTCCTCTGAAGACTGTGTTTACTGAGCTGCCAATGCTTTTCTGTGATTTCATTGTAGCTCTTCTCCATGTCTCTTTCTACTTCCCCTCTGGGTCGGAATGATGACTACATTTGAGAAATCAGAAACTTAGACAAAGATCTTTATTGGTGGTTAGGGTGACATAGTTCCAAAAAAGTAAACATAATTAACAGAAACACCAAAAGTACCAGAGGAGGCGCTCCGGTATCAGTAGAAGGCACTGATCCTAACACAGAAGAAAGCTGGCATGGATCTTCACACACAGATGCTGGTTTAACCCTGTCAAATGAACATCCTGTATTTTGAGCATGAGAATTTGTAGGCAGAGTAGGAAGGACTGAAGACTCTTCTCCCCTGGGTCAGACAGACAGACTCTCCAGCAGTATCATTACAGATGACACGAAGGTGACTACGATGGCAGCAATGACGACAATCCCAGTATGACAACACGCTGATGTCACAGCAACAGCCTGACGAGATCTATAAATCCTTAGCATTCTCTAACCCAGCTGACAGCCCCGGGTTAGTACTTGGATGGGTCACAAAATCCACTGTCACAAAACGAATCCACTGTACTCAGGTATCGCTGAAAACATACCAATCCTGGTATTCTCTAACTTGAGAAAATGATAAATACTATTGCATCACTTTGGAAATGAATCAAATCTAAGAAGAAAAATATACCGTTAAAAAAACATACACATGGGTACTTCTGGTAGTATGGCTTTTAAAACCCTGTGCTTGTCTATAAAAGCATTACAAGCAAAGTTAACAAATGGGAATTTTTATTTTTTAAAAAAAGAGGAAAATATTTGATATACCAAAATTAGTTTTAGACATTAAAATCAAATTTTATGCAAATACCTTTAGAAAACTGAATTACAAGATTGAAACATTAAAATACAGAGTACTTTTTACAAATTAATGAGTATGTTAAATAACTATATATTAAAGATTTGATTTGAAAATTAGAGCTGTTTCAAAATACTATGTTCAAATGTCATGTCTTAAGAACCCAGGAAAACTGCCAAATCACCATGCTGTTCTTTCACCAGGGTTTTATGGTGCTTGGGGATGGAAGGCCTATTCTGAGTCAGGAGAGAGTCGTTAAGTAATGTTCAAAGAAAAATAAAAGTAAAGCTTCAGGTACAAATTAATTCACTTCCTGAGACTGATATGGTGCTCACTGACTTGAATAAAACACAACATTGTCTTAAATATTGAGGACACTATTTCCTGGCAGCATCCATTATACTTTCATGTTACAAGTAGGTCATAAAGATAGGGCTTTAGGGAGAAATAGAATGCAGATGAACCTCTAAAGAAACAGAATGCTCTAGTCAAAGACTTCTTATTTTCTTTTTGATGAGGCACAAACAGAAAAATGGATGAAACATAACAACCCTGATTACAGACAACAGGGGACTGCATATCTAGATGGTTAGGATGTTTCATGAATGATCCATAATACAGCATTATTGCTACTGAGTCACCAGGCAATAATTGTCATCATTAACATTATGGTTTAAAAAGTTCACACTGTCCTTGTACTAAGTCCTTTCTGTCTTCTATATACAAGATGATGGACAGTCACCTCTCCCCAGTCTCATGACCAACTGAAATCTTCATTATAATGAAGAGAGTGAACAGAATGGAGACTTCTGGTACCAATTATTTTCCTGTATAACAGCTTGAAGAATACACAGTCAACACAGTGTATTACAATAACTGCATAATAGAAAAGCACGTTGAGTTTTCCCAGAAAAAAAAATCCCTATGACTCCTTTTCTTGCCCCCTCAGAAGTACAATATACATAATTTCCACCTAAAGTTAGGATACTCCCAATGCCACATGGCTCTCCCTGTATTGTGACCACAGCACGGCAGGATGAAGTCAGTTTCGGCTGCTTTTACTACCCAAACTCTGCTCACCGTGCTTTATAATTCTTCTTTAAAGACTTTTTCTGTCTCCTGTCTGGCGTTGTCTTCCTCACTGGGTGCCAACCACGTGAAATATACCTTTGCTGGATCGATGTTCCAGTGTTTGTGGAACGATATGGGAACTTGGTGAGAAAGGTAGTCCTTAGGGTAATCCATGGGCCGGGCCTGCCAGGAGGAGAACAGAGAACTACGCTTTCTTATCCATCCAATGCAATTTTGCTTCAGAATAGTATTTGAATTTATGAAGCGCCTGCTTTCCTTCAATATTTAATACTGGTTATGGGAACTTAAAGGTAAGAAGGAAAATCTTTTCCACCCTCTTCCCTTTAACTGTAGGCTCTTTTGCTTTATTGTCTCAATTACTTAAATATCCCAAATGCTACTGTTTTTATTTGTTGTTGTTTCTGGTACATAGTCATACCTCTAGATTCCTCAACCATGATCATAAATAGAAAAAGTTTTCTTTGCAAAGTCATTTAAGTTACTATTATATTATGACTCCTGCAAAATGGCAGAAAAATTATTTCACATGTCCCACTAAGGAAACTGGTCACATAGGTTGAGGGGGGTGGTCTGGACCAAGGAGCTCATCGGGGTACCTTTGCCTGTCCACTGCACTAGCATAGTATCAGGCAGAAGGGTAAGACAGGGACTGGCACCCTCTTCCTACCTAAATATTAGCCTGGTTCCAGAAGTGTCCATGGAAATTTCAAGTAATCCAAACTGTCTGCAAGAGAGCCTAAAAGTTATCATCTTGAAATCTCTAAAACTTAATGAAATTTAAAGAGAATCAGTAACCTATAGGATATGGAAGGAAACTGACACCAGACACTATTTTGTTTGCTCTAAGCCAAGCATCCATCATCTCTCAATACTAACTTTGTTTACAAATTATATAGCCTATCTGTGCTGTATAGTAACTCACTAGTTTGTCAATACTAAAATAGTAAAACTAGATATATATTTTTTAAAGATTTCTTTTATTTACTTATGCATATAAGAACTGGGGTGGGCGCCAGGGGTTGGGGGGTGAGAGGATTCACCAAAGACTGAAATATACTGCTGAGGGGAGCAGCAGGTGAGACAGGAGAGGTCTGCTGAGCCATGTGGGTAGCTCCCTGGCTGGGGATTGAACTCATGCTGCAGTGGTTGGGGATAGCTTGGTTGGTGATAGTTTGGTTAGCGATAGCTTGGTCGGCGATGGTGCTGAGACTTAACCCCTTGTGCCACCAGGGAGGCCCAAAACTAGATATATTTTAAGAACAAAAGTTTTCTCTAGGTTTTTTTTATTACTGCTTAAATTTGAATGTGAATATTTAGACCCCCTTCAATGGTTTACAGAATACTTTCATCCCATTTAGTCCCTCAAACAGTCCTGCAAGATGGTCAGAATATCATGATTCATTCCCAGTTTAGAGATGAGCAAACCAGAGCTTACATAATTATCACTTTCTTGGGGTAATATGACTAGTAGAGGTGGGAATGGGGGCATGGGCTGGTGCAGTGTCCCTGGTCCCCACAGCCTGTCTTCAATGCACTGTGCCTCAGGCCCCCACATCAGCATGCCCTAACCATCCTGGCCACTTCGGGAGGCCTTATCTGATAGAGATACAAATAATAGTGTTCAGATGAGTGTTCAGACGGTAATATCTGTGAGGAAGATTTTATAATGACTTTTGAAAGTCATAAAGAGTTTCATAATGGCTATTTTGTTGTCTTTTAAAAATTCTATGTGCTCCTATTTACAATAGGTAAGGTATGGAAACAATCCAGAAGCCCAAAATCAGAGGTCTGGACCAAGAAGATGACATATACATATATATATATATATATATATATATATATATATATATATATATATACACACACACACACACACACAGTGGAATACTACTCAGCAATCAAAAAAGATAAACTCATGCCCTTCACAGCAACATGGATGGAGGTAGAAGGGACTATGCTCAGTGAAATAAGTCAGAAGGAAAAGAAAAATACCAGATGGTTTCATTTATAGGAGGAATATAGGGGAACCAAATAAGGGATCAGGAAAAAAATAACAAGAATAAATAAAACAAAATTAACAGGCAACTATAAATCAGAGACATTTTGCAGGGGAGGGGGAGGGAGCGAGATCAAAACAGAGGAGGGAAGAGCACAAGGGATTATGATGATGGTGAACTGGTGGTGGGAATTTATGGGGACTACACCTGAGAGGAGAAAGCAAATATTGTACAAAAATGAACAATGATGTAAAAAAAAAATATATATATATATATATATATATATATAAGTTTAAAAGATTAAAAGAATTCTATGTGCTCATGGAGTTAAAAATATAGAAGAGAATTTTAAAGAAATAGACAGACCAAAAATACATACAGGAATAAAGCCTAGTTGAGTTGGGATGGTTTTAAATATTATCTGAGGGAGTTCATACATTACATGATGTTTATTGGCAAGGCCATCTAAGACCTCACTGACAGTGAAGAAAACCTAGGATAACTTTATACTTTCAACTCAGTTCTCAGATAATTTCACAGCGGTCCCCGGAGAAACACATAAAGACAGTGAAAACAAATCTGTTCTTGTTTTTTCATACTTAAACATGAATATTTGCAGATACAAATGCATTTAATAAGAGGAAAGCCATATGAAATGCATATATATATATCTTTCCTCTATTGATGCAGATTCTAGAAGTAATTAACTGCATCTCAGGAGTAGGTGGAGTGGTTTACTGAGCATTAGAATATGCTAAGCATTATGAGATAATGGAAAAGAATCAGACAAACTAGAGTTAAAATGCATCCAAACAGACATCTGTAACATCCAAAATTCTCTAATAATCACATCTCTGGGCACAAAACAATGCCAGAAAGAAATCCTGACACGAATAGGCAGGGTCATTAGGGGTGAGGGAAGACTCAGAAACAGAGGTAGAGTATGGCAGAACTGTGTGCAGGAAATGAGAGACTACCCAAACCTGCATGAAGACAAGGACATTAAGAGGGAGAAATTCAAACTGATGAACAGGGCACCATGTATAGTTTGGAATCTGCATGTACACACACCATTTGACCTGGTCACAACCTGTTTGCTCTAAGTTAACTTTCCAATCCAGGAGGCACCTGGAAGAGTGATGGATGCCATCTCTGACAGAAACTGACCATCCCCGAAGGAGTGAAGTGCTCTAAATCCAGATGCCAGCAGTGTGGGAACTGCCAGAGAGACAGAGTGCCATAAAACTCCCAGAAGTTGTTAACTGCCTGGAGTGAAGGCCATTCACTGATAATTAACTGCCTTTGTTTAACTCACTATAAAGTAGCTCGTTAGAGATGAGGTGTTAGAACAGTTTTCTTTGGAGCATGATGCTCCTCAGTTCTCAGATTAGCTTGCTGATCTAATTAAAGTGCATATTAAAGATTCAGTCCTTGTCCTTTGTCTTTTGGTTTCGACAATTGTGACAGGCAGAAAGAATCTGGTATTTTCCAGCAACAACAGCTTATTTATTACTTTAAAGAAGCCTAATATAATTCTGATATAGATTACACTGAGGTTATAGATCAATTTGTGGGAGGTGGGGCAATGAATTTCGCTGGATTCTGTGTTCCTATTTTTTTTTTTTTAAAAGCCTTTGTCTACTGGAAACATCATATTCCACAGGAATCAAATCTGTATCCATTTGTTTGGTTAACTGCTCTAATCCAAAATGACAGTAAAACTTCCACTAACTGCTGAAGAAGGCAAACGGTTATACCCTTAACTAAGTGCTGAGGTTAAGCCCCAAGAAGTCAGGAAGAGATGAAGACCATCACCCTAGGGGAATACATTTATTTCAAGGAATAAGGCCTCAGTGAGGTTTATTTGCATACCAAAGAGCTAGAATGAGGACGGGGAACGAATCCACAGCCTTTTTACCTATGAAAGCAGAGAAAGCAATTTTCCCTTATCATCCCTTTCTTATGGGTATCTGGTCGCTTTATATATATATATATTTTTTTTTTTTACATCATTTTTCATTTTTACACAATGTATGCATTTTCATCTTGGTTATAGTCCCCATACAATCCCTCCTCCTCTCCTCTGGTCACTTTTGTAGGCTAACTCGGCTAGCTCTCCCGGTATTGCCCTAGAGGTAAAAACTAGGTCCTATGGACGCTTGGAGCAGAGTTGGGAGCAGGATGTGCTCATTATTTACTGTGAGGTATTTAATTTAAAAATCTGTTTCTGATCCATAAGACATCATATGTGCATTCATAATAAAGTCTGAGTTAATTTTACCTGAATAAAATGAGCTAATAAAACCCCTTTTAAATGAATTTTTAAAAAATCACAACAATGGAATTTGTCATCATGACACACTGAGTCTTCCAATTCATGAATGTGGTATATAGCTCTCCATTTACTGAAGATCTTCTCTCAACAGTAATTTATATTCACTGAAGAGTATAGCTTCTTTTTCATTTATCTCTGAGTATTTTATTCATTTTGATACTATTTAAGTGACAGTTTTCATTTCATTTTCAGAATTCTTGTTATTAAAACAATACAATTGTTTTTGTCTATTGATCTTGTAGCCTGCAATCTTGCTAAATTTACCTATTTATTTCTAACAGTATGTTTTGTTTTGTTTTCCTTTTAGTGGAATCTTAGGATTTCTTCTACCTACAAGATCACATTGTCTGTGTGATGAAAGATAAGGATAGAAAAGTTGGAAAGGAGGCACCACAGACCAGAAACCTGGCTCATACAATGCCAGGGGCTGGAGGTGGGGGTAGAAGTGAATGGCCGGGGCAGCAGTCCTGCCCACCTGTGACTATGCAGGTGCTCCTTTTTGCCAACCCTGTCCCTCCACAGGGCAGCAGCCTTCCTGCCTGCCGTGACCTGTACCTTACCAGGCTTCTCTTCACTGACCTCCCTCAGCAGAGACAGCTCTCCTCACAAGGCTGCTAGCCTGTGACCATGCACGCCTCTCTCCTAGCAAACCTGTCCCTTTTGGGGCAGCTCTTTCTGCCCACTTGCATCTATGCAAGTGTCCTTTTCTCTCCCTTTTATAATAAACCTGCCCTTTTGGATCCAACATCTCTGTCTTATGGAGAAACTTGCCTGGGAAACTTGCCAGTGTTGCTGAAAGAGGAGCTCTGGTGAAACTTTGCCCAAAATGAACCCAAGGACTCCACTCTCAGAACCAAACAACTCCAAAAATGACTTTATGTGGATCAAGAAAATTTGACTACCTCCTTTCCAATCTTCATCCTTATATTTCTTTTTAGCCATATTGCACTGACTAGAACTTCTGAATACAATATTAAATTAAAAGGTGAGACTGTCCATACTTCCTTTGTTCTCAATCTTGTTATGTTACAAATAACTGAATTTCTGTGTTTCTACTGCTAAATCCATCTAGACAATTTCTCACATCAGTTATTGGATTTTACAACTACTTTTCATTTGGCTCATTATCACAGTCTATTTTCCTATTAAAATTTGTTATTCATTGAGTTATTGTCCTCAAATTTTTTAAGGTTTTTGAACACAGTTTCCTTTAACTATGCAACTACCATTTTTAAAAAATCTATTTTGAAGTCTCTGACTATCAATTCTAAGATCTGGTCCTGATGGAGAATAAGGGTAGAAAAACTGGAAAGGAGGAGCCACAAGATCAGAAACCTGGCTGGTAATGCCAAGAGCTGGAGATGGGGGTAGAAGAGATTAACAGCCATTAACCCAGCTATGGGAACTAAGATCCTCAGGCCCCAAGCCTACATCACAAAGCACAAGACCCAAGCAGGTATCAGACTGCCATAGGGGGTGTCAGCAGTGAGGACTTGAAGGTGAAGGTGTGGAGATTGAGGGCCATTGTAGAAATCTGGCCCCTTTCAAATTCTACATAGTTTATTCAAGTCAACAAGAAACAAACTACCCCATAAAGGAGTGAGCCCCTACCAAAGAAAAGACTTATCAGTGCAATCTCTGCAACGCCACAGGGCAGCAGCCCTTCTGCCCACCTGTGCCTATGCAGGTGCTCCTTTTTGCCAACTCTGTCCCTCCACAGGGCAGCAGCCTTCCTGCCTGCCCGTGACCTGTACCTGCCGGGGCTTCTCTTCACTGACCACCCTCAGCAGACGCAGCTCTCTGCAAGGCAGCCTGCCTGCAACCATGCAGGCCTCTCTTATCAAACCTGTCCCTTTTGGGGAAGCCCTTTCTGCCCATTTGTATATATGAAAGTGTCCTTTATTCTTCTCTCCCTTTTGTAGTAAACCTGCCCTTCTGGATATAACTAACATATCTGTCTTGTGGAGGAACTTACCTGGGAACTCGCCACTGCTGGTAGAAGGGGAGCTCTGGTGAAACCTTTCCCAGGATGAACCCAAGGACTCCACTCTCTGAACCCAGCAACTCCAAAAATGACATCCGTCCCACTCAGCGTCAGTTAATTTCCACCAACAACATTTTTCTGAGTATGTCTGGTTACATTACCCAGAATATTTTGTTGAAATCTGGTTATTTTGGGTAATGTATTAGCAACTCACAATGCTTACTTTTATTACATTTTTATTTTTTAATAACTTGCTTAAACTGTGGAATCTTTCTCCCTGCAGAGTGTTGGTGCTATATTTCCACTCAACTTTGAATGTTTATTTTTATTATTTAGTTTGGGTAGAAGTCACTCCTGTGCCTGAACTGCTTAAACTCAGTTTATATCATAGCTTATATTATTGTCATCTTATAATACACCTAGAAGTTGTGCTCAAAGATCTGAAGTCCATAAAGTGACTACCTATGTTTGGGCTGTGAAGCACATTCAAAACTTCAGTTAGTTTTCAAATATGTCTTGGTTTCTACTTCCCACTGGCTCACCCCACTGTCTGTGCGCACACGCAGAGTTTCTTAATGGGTCAGGAAGCTTTGAAACCTTACTACTGCTTTCGTCTTTCTAGGGTGTTAGGTAGTAAATTTCTGGCTAATATGCCTTTACTGAAACTGAGACCCTAACAACAACTACACCTACAACTAAAGATGAAGGTTTAGATTTATCTTGTTTGTTTCCTACCAAGTTTGACCATTTCAGGTTTTAGTGAACATACCTGTGAGTTTTGATCTCCCTGTCCCCAAATCAAGTCTATTTTGACAGCAAAGATATTTTTTTTTCCCTGCCTGGTCCATACTGGTAAAACTGCTATGGGTCTCTCTAACCAACCTGTGATGGAAGGGTGCTGGGGTGGGGTGTTTATGCAGACGGTCTCAGAAGGCCGCAGATTCTTTTTCTTACCGCAAACTACAGCTGTTTTTCAGGAATAAATGCTTCTCAATGATTCTGGCTCATTTCCAGCAACCTAAAGTGGTTATTTTGAACCTTTGGTTCAGCTGGTTCACTGGCCATGGCAAGCTGCCATGCTCCTTAATGGCATATAACTTTGGAGGAACAGAAAACCATGTGCTCCCAATATTTTGCTTTTAACAAATGGATGAACCAGACAATCCTTTGAATCCTCTTCTAAGCTTATGATTTGACAATAACTTTTCCCTAATACAAAGAAAACATGTGGCCCAGTCAAATTTGTACCTGAGGTTATTCAAAAGAGCCAGCCCTCCCCTGTCTTCCACGCCCCAACTCACCAAGAATTTTAGATTTATTACTTTTTGTTTTATATCTCTGTCTCTATATCAACAAATACACTGTTTGGATCAGTTTCCAAACATTACAAATGTAAAGTAATGCTCAAATCCCAGCAAACTCTCTAAAAGAGGCTTCAGAATTAGAAAATACTTCAGTATCTGTTGGGGAGGATAGGTTTGAAAAGGTTTGGAAAGGCTTAAGATGGATTATGTGAATTAGAGAAATCAAGAGTTTTAACTTTGAGAAATAAAAATTTTTAAAATTATCTTCAAAGGACTTTTGCGTAAGGGTTAGATTATTTCCCTTCTTTCTTTTCTCTTTATCACTTTATTTACTGGTGTAGTCTTCCCTAAGTGAAAAAGGTTGCTATAAAAATCTATGACCTGTCATAGTAACAAAGACAAATTGTTTCCCTTACATACCAACAGTTTTAATTACGCTTCCTTTTCTATGAGGGAAACATTATGAGATAACTTGCCTCTTTCTAAGTCATCATAACACAACACATAGGCTTAAAATGGCAAAGACCAATCGAGGGTTTTAAAGATGGGTAAGTATCTACTGACCAGTACCACAAAAAAGGTTTTCACTTAATTATAATTAGTCTTTTTCCGGGTCCTTTATTTAGGTTTTCTAAATTCCTGCTATGAGTGAGACTAATTATAATAAAGTAAAAATCAAAAGCAACAAGCAACTATAAACCAGAGACACACTACATGGTGGGAGGGGGTTGGGGGGGGCAGGGAGTAGGATCAAAACAAGGGGGGTGGGAATTGTATGGGAGCTATAACCAAGATGAAAATGCATACATTGTGCAAAAATGAAAATGTAAAAAATATATAAAATTAAAAAATAATAATAAATTAAAAACAAGGTTTTCATAGATTTATTATTAAAAGTCAATCCTTTCTTATGGTCCTCAAGGATGTAAAAAAGAACTTTCTTGGTAATGGGAACATTTTTCTTTGCCTTATTCAAGTTAATTCTTAGTGTTGTTTCTGTCATGCTCAATTTACTGCTATGATAGTGTTGGCTACTGGTCACTAAATAAAGCATGAGGACTATCTTCAATATAAAGGAGGACACTTAAAATACACATGAAGTGACACATTTCAAATTTCAAAAGGCTTTGAATTTCTTGAAGAATAAGTATGCGTTTTGACTATTTTTAGTGTAAGTACAGCGGCTATTATTCTTGGAATACAAGAACATCCACTGACCTGATTCTTTAAAAACTACTAAAAATAGGATTCCCATTTCCAACCTCAACTGCAGTATGGTAATGCAATTAGCACCAACCACTACTGTTAGATATCATCTCAATGCTTCTTTTCTACAACCCTCAGAATGTAAGCTTGTTGAAATAGTTTGGTCACTCAGCTTAATAGCAACTAAAAGGAAGAAAGCCCAACAGCTTGCCAGTAGACAAGGTAAAAACTGAGGAAACTTAGAACTATTTACACTTACTGGCCAAAAGGACAATGTTGTCAGCCCTATTTCTAAGTAGCATCTAATGATGTTTTATGCCATCAATTTTTTAACTCAAAGAAACCTTGGTCCTACATACAAGGATATTGGTCAAACACCATATACTGTTCTAGATGTTTCTGCCTTCCATCTTCCTGTTGCACCTGACAGAGGACCAACCCTCTGGACAAACAGCTCTGTTAAACATACCCCCCCCTGGAGTCTGCCCACACAGCTCTTAAGACTATTTCCACAGTATATGAAGGGAAACAACTAGGATCCTTAAGTGAGGAGAAAATCCCCTTCTCTCCCTCGAAGGTAGGAATAAAACCAATTTTCTCACCTGATGGAAGAGAGGGCTGTGTGTCACAGGGACTCCGAGCCCACTAAAGCACATTCCGAGGACCATGTCATCAGGAGCATCATTGCTGTAGCAGCGACAATTACTGGCAAGAAGTCTCCTGATGGCTTCTCTACTGAAGACCATTCTAGAAGGAGCAAGAGAGACAGAGAAAGGAGTTAGAGTTGCTCATCCAGACGACTAATCTGAATACATATGGTTCAGAGGCCACATTTCTGATAAAGACAAAAGATGTTATCAGGAGTGTTTAATATTTTAATAGTTATTATGAGAGAAATGTTGTTGTACTTCTTATGAAAACAAAATCACTTTTAAGAGCTGTTTACCTACCTAGTAGGCCATTTTATTCCTATATATATCTCACGTATCTTGCAAGCTAATACCATGCAGTGTTCCTTTTCTAATACATCACTGAAAAATTAGAATAGCTCTTCAGTTTCAAAATTCTCCCTAACAAAACCTGTGCACATTCCCAGCAGGTAGATGGGCCCCAAAATACTATGTACCTCACTCACACAGGTGATGACTAACAACGAGATCAAATCAAAATGGAAAAAACCATCCACTGCCCAAGTGATTCCAGTCTTCAGAAACTTCGTTAAGTGATTTAGAAAGAAAAAAAAAAGAGAGAGAGAGAGAGAGAGGAATAGAAAAAGACTGATTTGAATCACCAAGTATGTGACGTTACTCGACCTGCCATGTGGCGTTCTTTCTGGTAGAATTTGGGCCCACTCCTGTTTTTCAGTGCTCTCCTTATCATTGCAGGAAGTCAGAAACTTTAAAACAATATTTCTCAGGCATCCCTGCCAGTCAGGTCCCGGCTTTGTTCAGACAATAAGAAGCGCAGCATTGGGGAGGGCCATATTTTTCCAATGGTCCCTGAGGCAGAGCTAGGTGATGGTGGGCAGCCACGGGCTCCAGTAGAGCCAGCACAGTAAGGCAGGGCATGCATAGAGGCCCCTCAGCAGCAATAGGGTGTGCTAGTCCTAGGTCTGGTTCAGATGCAGCATCACAACTTGAGAGCAACCTGCACAAACAAGCCCTAGGAATCAGTACTCACTTTGCTCCTCCAGTCTCAGAGGCAATTACAGCTTTCTATGGTTACTGATTTTTATGCAAAATTACCCAGACCCTTTTATTCCGCTGGCCCTTCCAACACTTCTGTATAACTTACTGTGATAAACCTCCTCTCTTTAAAATATTTGTTGTTTTTTGGTCTTCATTCTGGTTCTAGAGTAATAATAAATTTTCTCATACCAGGAAAACCCACAGCTGAGAGTATTTAGGTACTAATAAGATTCACAAGTTCATTCCCATTCAGCAAAGACTTTTTTGAAGGCAATAGGATCTAAAATGCATCCATATAATCCCACAGGCTTTGGAACATAAGGTCTTGGCATACAAGCACTCAATAAAAGTTTGTTACACCAAACAAGAGAAAAGAAAGGTGCCTTTGCAAAGATCTTCTTCCCAAGGATGAGTTCTATGAAAGGCAGAAAGGGCAAAGAGCATGAACATAACCCCTGATTCACAGCTGTTGATTCCATACTCAGTGGGGGGCAGTGTGGGGTAGCTTAACCCTAGTAACCAAGCACTGGGATTGCAACAATTCCAGAGGCAGGCTCCCTTCCCTTGCTAAGAGATCTAAAGAATGAAATATGACCAGACAAGAGGAAAAAGAAATGCTTTCTTTAAGATGATATAAGAAAACACAACTGTATAAGGACAAAAAAAGTTCTTACGAATTATATCAAAAAGGGAAACTGCAAGTTTGAAACTCAGCATAAATTGATTGTAGGGTAAATGAAAATTCACAGGATTTTCCGCCCTTCCGCCATTAACATTAATGATAGACCCCTGTGGTCCTACACGTGTGCCTGATGGCAGCCACCTGGAGTAGAGTGTGGGCATGCATAGGTGGGCACACCTGGGCTGAGAGGCTGGGCTTACAAGGGCGGCATCACGGGGATGCCAGGAGAACAGGAGCAGAAGCAGCAACAGCAGCAGAAGGGTGGGGGGGTGGAAGAGGAGGAACTGGGAAGCTTGCCAGGCTCCCAGGGCCCCCAGCCCCCTGCCTGCCGTGTGCCTGGTTGCCACACTACAAATGATTTTAAAAAAATATTCAATAAAAGCCTGAAAAAGGCACCGAGGGCTCCAGAACTCTCCTTTACCCGTCTGCCCAGATTACAGAGATTCTGCACTGTGCCTTCCTGCCACCACATTAACCTTCTCTAGGAAAGTCTAGTGACCACCAGTGACTCTGGGCTTCATACCTACATGGCTGAGTCAGACATCTGCACCACTGACTGACTCCAGGAAAAGGGCCAGTGTAAGAAGACATGCATCACTATAGACAGACATTTCCCTCAAAATATCTCAGATGCTAAGTCAAGGAAAATTTCATCGATATGCCAATTAGATTGAATCAAGCTGTTACCTTGCTCTCTTAAATCCTATTTAAATAAAAATGCTTCTTTTCTCTCCTTTGCCAGCATTTAGTAGCATGAGAAAGAAAAGGAAGGCCTTTTATTTGGTTTATTAGGCTAGTAAACCAATAAAAATTAACTTTATAGGAAGATAAAATATAAGTGGAAAATTGTTATTACCAATTTTTTTCTAGTTTTGCCTACTCACAGCCTCACTTTAATTATTCACATAAAGTCTATGCGAGCCTTTAATAACATTTGCTTATTAGTGTGCTGATGGGGTCGTACAAAATGAAGCTGCCTCCACAAATGGAAAATTATCAGATGTATGTCTGCTCTGCTCACCAAATTTAAATATTAAAACCACTGAAAGGCTATAAGATGAATAAAGTTATCTTCTTTACTATGCATTATACTAATATTTATGGCAAGAAAAACAGATTCCTTACTTCACTCCTGGGAGCATAACTAAAGTAGTCTATCTGGGCACATGACTCAGAGGATCCCATGGCAGGGGAAAACTAGAGCACATCCTGGACAACAGAGGTGAAGGCTGGCTGGGCGTGCACCAGAAGAGCTGCTGAGGAAACTAGATTCAACAGAAGGTAAATTGTGCGAGGCGCTGGCCAGGGCAGAAGCTGCTCTTCATACCCACACTCCCGGGACAGGGTGGTCCCCAGCAGCACATCTGCTTAGTGTGGACCTAACCATGGGGAGCTAGGTGAGAAAGTGCTGGGGTGGACATGCTCCACTGAAGAAGATAAAAGGCAGACAGATGCAACTCCCTCCCCACATCTCAGGGACTCCAGCAGACACAGTGAAACTGCTTGCAAGAGCCTCCGAGCAACTGCACTGAAAGTCCTGCCCCCATGCTGAAGGGATGTGGATCTGAAACCAACAGGCACATGGAAAAACACTCATCATCACTTCAGTCAGGGAAATGCTAATCAAAACCACCATGAGATACCACTTCACACCTGTGAGAATGGCCCATATCAAAAAGACCAGTAACAAGCGTTGGTAAGGAAGTGGAGAAAAAGGAACCCTCATACACTGTTGGTGGGACTGTAGACTGTTCCAGCTCCTATGGATATCAGTATAGAGGTTTTCCAATATATTAAAAATATATTTACCATATGATCCAACAATTCTATGCCTAGGTACCTTCCTGAAGAATGCAAAAACACTAATTCAAAGGGATGAAGATACTCCTAAGTTCATTGCAGCACTATCTATAATAGTTACAGAAACAACCTAAGTGCCCAAGAACAGAGGAGAGTGGATCAGGAAGATATGGTATATGTACCACAATAAAAAAAAAGGTAGAATCTTGCCATTTGCAGCAATCATGGAACTGGAGTCAGTCAGAAAAAGAAAAGTAAGCAAAGTCAGGCAGAAAGAGAAAGACAAGCACCAGATAGTGTCACCGACATGTGCATATAAAGAAACAAAACAAAGGGTCAGATAAAGGCAACCAATTAAAAAACCCAGAAATCTGAAAGTAGAACTGAGGCAACAAGGGGGTGAAGAGGTGGGTGGGGGTGTGTACAGAGAGAAAAAAGTGAGGAGGGAGCACAATGGACTGTGGTGGAGGACTATGGTGATCTGGTGGTGGGTGTGATGTGGTAACAGCGCCGGGAGGGGGAGATTCCACACATCTCAATCACAGACAACATTGTAAACCAGTGTTACCTCAATTAACAAATAAATTTTAAAACTGAAAAAAAGCAAAATGAAGGAAAATTGAAATAGAGGTAGGGAGGGCATACCTGCAAACCAAGAACACATGCCAAAGGAAAAGCACACCAGAAAGACTTGCACAGGCCCCTGCCTTCTATCAGGTGAACAGGCCAGCGCTGTCTCTCTGGTAACAATGCCCACAGCCTCTTCAAAGAGCCTGCCAAAGAAACTAATGATTCCCAATCACAGCTTCCTACCTACTAATACATAGTTAAGTACAGTATTCTCAAAAAAAGAAAATAGCTATTGGTCTAATTGTCTATAAACACCGAAACATTAAAGGAGTAAGCAACAATGTGAAAACAAGCTTCAAATGGTGCATAAGTCTCATTGTCCAAATATAAAGTACCTACACATAAATCACTGGAGTCCATCCTCCTGACCTAGTCCTGGTGTTAGGACAGGCTTAAGAGGGATAGGCAGTGGCTTCCAAAAACTTACTCGACGACAAACCACAGTGAGAAAACAAGAATTCATGTCAAATTGCAATCATTTATATGTGTTGTGTATGTGTATACAACTGAAACGAAAATATCACATAACAATAGTCATCCTTACTACATGTGATGCACTATAGTACTTGTACTATATCTTTATTGTTATTTTAAAATGATGGTTATGATCTGTTAATTGGTCTTATAAGCCATCAATGGATCCTGACTTGCTGTTTAAAAAAAAAACATGTTTCTTAAGCTAGATCATAAGTCTACTGTAATACTAGAGAAACTACTCAACATTATGCTTGTAGCTACTATCAATTGTTGAAAAAAGCAACAATCCCATGAAGAAGTGTCTGCATCTTTGTAAAAGTGCTACTGAAAACAGAGTATCACGATGGCCAGTGTTAGTTGTACAGAGATCAATGCCCAGAGTTCACGCATTTGTTTATTCATTTATTCACTGAACCATGTAAAAAGTGAGCCCCCAAGCTAGGAAGTGAGGACATAATAAAAAATGAGACACAGGTGTGTCTTCAAATAATTCAACATTTAGGGGGAAACAGAAAAGTAAATAGGCAATTAAATGATAATGGTTTGCATAATATGCTATGAAAGTGCATTAAGAAGGCACACAGGTTTGAAGGCTGTATGAGGGCGAAGGATTCCAGGAATATATAAATAACTATATCAAGTCCCAAAGTATGAAGATTAGCCAGGACACAGAGGCAAGAGGTTGAAGTGGAGGAACAATACTATGTAGAAACCAGCAGAACAATACTATGTAGAAACCAGGGGAAAGTGGGAAAAATAGTATCTCTAAAATAAATGCAGCATAACTTCTTGACGATAAGGGCACAGAAGGACAGAATGGTAAAACTGCATCTGCCAAGGTCATGAGAGGCCTGGTCAGTCCTGATGAGGCATTTGGAATTTATCCTAAAGGCAATGGGAGGTTAGAAAAGGATGCAAAAGATTTTCACTCCCTATTGTAACATACAGAAGTCTGAATGAAGTAAAAATCCATTAGCTTTGTAACTGTTGGAGAGAGGAAGATATTAAGAAGCTCTGATGGACTAATTTCCAGAGAAGTCCAGAGAGAGGTCTCCTTCACAGGGGAGCAGCAAATTACCTTTCAAGGAAAAACTGGGCCTAAGGGCTGGAGGGTAGAAGAAAAGGCCTGTTTAAAACCTTACCCGTGGGTGAGTCAAATGAAGTGGTTAAAATGAAGACTAATCCCAAATCACCTTGACTCTTGTTGAAGTTTGAATAATTATCTCCTAGCCTTAGATGCCAAAAGTGAGAAAAGGTTCACATTCTTAGAGAAAAATAAAAGAAATAGGAAGCTAGTGAAGCCCTCTTGGTAAGAAAGAGGTAAGAACAGATGTGCTTCAGAAGGTCCTCCTGACTACAGCATAGGGAACAGCATGGAGTGGAAATAGAACAGGATGAGAAAGAGGAAGACCAGGAGGTTGTGGCATCCAGGAACTCACTAAGAAATGAAGAAGACATAGACCAGAGTTATTGAGATGGACAGAAAGGGGTATTATGGGAAGAGACATTTTGAAGAAAAAACTGACATGACTCTGTGACTAAGTTGACTGCAGGAGAGTTAAGGCATGAAGAAGAGAAGAGTGAGAGATCTCTGGGGCAGGATCTTACACATGCTGGTGCCCACCCTGAGCAAGGCACACTGGAACACCAAACAAGGCTGACATCAGAAACGACAAGGTCAGTATGGGAGGTGTCGACCTGTGGACATCCCCTGTACCTGTGGATCATCCCAGCGGAGGTGTCCTTTGGTAGATGGATATGACTCACAAGATCAGAGAGAATTTTTAGGCTGAGGATTAGAGATTTGAACACACTCAGCATAAAGCCATGGTTACAGTCACCCAAGACTTTAAAGACTAAAAAGAGATGACTGGAAAACACAGACATTTAAGGCACAGATAAAGGAACTGAAAAGGTCTGATTTGAAAGACAGGGGTAAGCAAGGACAGTATTCTGGAAAGCAAGCAAAGGAGTGTTTCAAGGAGTAGACAGTCAATATTTCAAAGGCTGCTACAAGGCTAAATAAGAAAAATATTGGAGGCAAACCATTTGATTTGGCTACATGGAGATCACCAGAGACCTTAGAAGTTAGCTAGGCAGAAGTGTTACAGGGCAGCCCCGATATAAAACGGGTTGCCTGGCTGTGGGTCCCCACCTGCATGCTTAAAAGGGACTTATTAATACTGCACTGCAGGCACACACAAAAGGTTAATAAAAGGTTTATTTACAAGGGAAGGGGAAATGAGGAAATGTACAACTCAGGAAGAAAATGGGGAAATAGTCTTAAATGCGTCCTACCCGATCCGCCGACCTGGAAACCCAATGGCACTCTGAGAGCTGGCCGAGAGCCGCTAGCTGGCGGAGAGCCTAAAGGGCCCCCCCAAGGCCCACGTGTCTGATTTTATACCAAACCTGGCTGCTTAACTCCACCCTCAGGTTCCAGCAACCTTCCCTTTGGTGGTGATGGGATTTGTCTTTCCCAGTGTCCTGATGGCTTTGGTCTGGAGTGGGGGTGGAGTCCACAAAGCCTGTATGGAATTAGCTTAGGACATCCTTTTCCCCCTAACAGAAGGATGAGCATGGAGGTCAGATGGAGGGAGCTGAGGAAGCAGGGATGTGAGAGTAGTGAATTCTTGAGAAGCTCTGAATGGGAAAAGCAAGTTGGTGTGGTGGCAAAAAGTTTTAAGAGAGGAAAATTGTAGATGATGGAAAATACCTAGTAGCAAAGTAGATGTTGAACACATAACAGGTTAAAGGTACCCTTATGGAGGTTTAGCAGTACCTCCACAGGCCTGGGAAAGAAGAGCAGTAACAGTTAGGCAAGTTACTTGCCAATCTGGCACTAGACTATGAGCTCCTGTAGGGAAGGAATGAGGGCTTTCATCCGCATTCCCACTATTGGCCTGGAACTGATTAGGCCTGTTGAGTGAATGAATGACCAACTGAATTATGAAAAGCAATGCTGGTTAAGTAAAGTACACTTTCAGAAGGAATCAAGTGCCAGTCTCAAGAAGTAACAGCTAAATCCAACAGACAAGGAAGACAACAAAATTGTTTTCTTTCAGAAAACATAAAGAATGTCACTTCTATGTTAAAAGCACATGAATACCTTTGTATTACCAAACACATAAACCCATATACAAACATCAGGATGCCTTTCAAATGAACAAAGTGCTGGTTCAAAAGGTGCATGCTGTGATCCCCCCTTGGCCCTCACACCTCACCCAGAAAACTGAATGTATTACCATAAAGCTGCAAACAGCTTGAACCTTTCTTAATCAAGAGGTCAACCCATCTTGGCATTACCCTTCACATGCTTACGTGAATTCCCATCTCCAGTTACTAAATGAGTTCAGGTAGACCCCGGCCACCACCCAACAAAGTGCAGCACTGCTGCTGAAGCTCAGTTACCCTCTGAGAGAGTTACTTCCATGACCATGTTAGAGTCACCACTGAATCAGTCAGACCAAAGAAGAACACCTGGAACATGACTCATGCAGTGGTAACTATTCTATAATACAAGGTAAGAATAGTGTCCTACTTCTTTATGAGATTTATAATCCAGTTCCATGCCACATAGTGGATATTTAACAAACACCTACTTAAGGAATTTAAATTATTATAATTGATAACAAGCTAAGATTCTCCCTAAATATGTCAATAGCAAAGACTATATAATAGAAAAGACTACCTGATCAAAAAATTTAACCATAACAAACCAAATTAAAATCTTTCCCCATAAGAGACCTAATTGCTTAGGTCTAAACTATTTACCACTTTTTCCCCAAATATGGCTTACATGCACTTAATAATTTAAAAATGTAGTGACTTAGTTTCTGAAATTAAAATCTATATCTATTTTTTTCCCATTTAAACAGATAATCAAAACAAATTGGCTGCTGTCTAGAGGCAATCTACAGGGACATTTGTACCAAAGTACCCTGACATGCATTTTTATATTCTCTTCAAGAGGTAGAATAGTTTTTACTATGAGGTCTTTTCATATTTAGTAAATTCAATGTTCACTCTCCTATTAGAATAGCAACTGCGGGTTACAAACCAGTTACATGTTCTGTAGAGATTCCAACGTCACAGACCCAGCTCTGCACTGGGGAAAGGGAAGTTTAATGTTCAGAGTATTTGCAGAAAGCCAAGCCTCATAGTTGGCCTCATAGTTACCCGCCTCCTCCTGTGACGTAGCTGTAGCCGCCAGAGCCCAGGCCATAACCGTAGCGCTCGCCCAGAAACACAGCTTCTCGAGAGTCATAACAGCTGAGCAAGTGCCGGAGCCTGGAGATGCTGAGATTCCAAAGGGAACAAAAGCAATATTTACTTAATTCAAATATGACTTCAGAGTAAATACTTTACAGTTCTTACATCCCACCAGTTATATTATGTAATGCAATACTGAAATCATTCAGAGAGAAAATTTGAGTGATTTACAGAACTGATTTTTTTTTAAAGACCAAAGGGGGAAAAATAAAGATCAGCACAGACTGTGCATTGTCAGAAACAGGAGAAAACTGAGAGACAAGGAGTTTGTTTCCCAGTTTGAGCAACCCCTGACAGGTGTGACTGCCCAGTGTGGGTGGGAAGGGTGACAGGTTAATGGTGCACAGCGGGGCAGGGAACTCCATGGCTCTCCTCCACCAGCCCCGTTCCCCGGTGAGTTAATAATCTTTACATCTTTTCAGATGTACTTAGTATTTTTTTTTAACTCTTAATAGCCAAAAATAGAGCTGTGAGGCACAAATGAGGGCCATGTCAGACATGCAGCTAGAAGATGGGGAAGAGGATTTGGGCAGTGGCTTTCCCCAAACCCTCCCTCTTATGATGCACAACTCTGCTTAGTTGCCTCCAGTAAGGCATCCCTTGTCCATGATCTTTTATGTCTATTTGCTTATACCTCCTGCTCCTAAACGTCTTTGTCATGTCAAGGGTAGCTTACATAGGGCAGTGAGAATATCCAAGAGCTGGTCAAGAAAATACCTACAATTATAGCTGCCCTGCAGCTGGGGGAAAAAATTTCAGGGGAAAATAAAATCTAGAAATAGCTTTTAAAGTGGAGACAAATATTGATACTAAATTTTTCCATGTTTTCTACCATTTCTAGTTTTCCACCGTTTCTTCGAATTTAGAGTTCTCCAGGTCACACACCACCAAATCCTATCGTCCCTCATGATATTAATTAGTGTTCCTGAAGTAAAGCTTTCTACGTTTAATAACTTGAGATTAAATATTTTTAATGAAATAGATAAATATCAGGGTCTTTCAGGCCTCAAATTTATGAACATCATTCATCTCCAAGAGGTAGATATGATATTATGCAATTCTCTGAATTATTAATCACAAATTATTATCATAAAGAGCAATACTAACATCCAGGGCACTACTGCATTCCCTCTCTTTTTTTTTTTTGAGGTGGGGAATCATAAGAAAGTCAAGATGTACAAGAGGTCATCCTTCCATCCATGTCAAGCATCTTACATAAACAGCCCAGTTAACAGAGACAAAGTGAAGGTAAAGAAAACAAATTTAATACATGAAAAAAAATTCTTACAGGTAAGAGGCTAAAATAGTCTGCAAGTCTGTTGCTCAGGTTTCTGTCTGTTGGAAGGTCAAGGACTCTGGTAATGTTGAAAGTTTCTGAGTGTCCAGAAAATATAATCTTTGGAAACCATCCTGTTTTTGAATACATATTAAAGATTCTAGATTCCTAGCTTGACCATGTCTACAGAAAGCTGTCTAATAAATAAATAGCAGAGGGAGGCGAGTCAGTGTGTGGCATCTCTAATCAAACCCCATTCAGGGATGGAGAATATACACTTGAAGATCACTAAGGAAACTGCAGCTTTGGTTGGTAAAAGGCTTTGTAAAAATGCAAAGGTCTCTGGGGTAAATTTATATCTCTGTCCCAACCTCAGAAGAAATAAAAAGTATTTCTCTTCCTTCCATATAATGTGAAATTATTAACTCAACCCTCAATCTCAGAAGTTAAGATAACTGAGATGTAACATTTTCTCTGGGGTTTTTTTTTCCATGTAATATTAGTTGCTTCCACATTCACAGTATCATTTTAAAGCTGAAGAATCACAAATTGAGTCTGGCAACTATCATGCACTTCATATTTGCTAAAAACTGGAAAATATGGTTAAAACAGATCTTCAATTCTATCCAAGGAGATTGGCTGCTGATCCAGGAAAAGAAATTTATTTAACGAAGTCTTTTACCATTTCAGGCAACATTGAGACACAGAAATGGAGAAAAACTATATGGAAATTCTTAGATTAACTGCTATCAAATTATATTAATACAGCTTAGTGTTCATATAGATTTTAACAGCATAGTACTGATTCTGAAAACCCATTCTAACCTATTACAGCTTTTATTTTTTAACTTTTTATTGGAAATAATTTCAAAATTATAGAAAATTTGCAAGATTAATACAAAGAATTCCCATATGCCCTTGATCTAAATTCACTAATTAACTTCTGCCTCATTTGTTCTATCATTCTGTCTCAAATTCTTAATAGATACAGAAAATACTACTATTTGAATATATATGTATATATAAACATTGTATATGTATACACACACACACACACACACACTCTTTTGTTCTCTTTTTCTGATACACTTGGGATTAAGCGGCATAGATTATACCCTTTTCCTCCTAAATACATGAAAGTGTATTTCCTAAGAACAGCAAAAGCAACTTCAAGAAATGTAACATTGATACAATAGGTTTTTTAAAAGGTTAAATATACACCTACTATATGTCCCAGTCTTTCTATCCCTTAGTATCTAGTCAAGATAACAAAACAGATGTCTATATAGATATATATCAAAGGTTCATAGCAGCCTTAAATATCCAAAACTGGAAATGCTATACTTATATCTAAGCTACCACCCATATCCAATTTTATCAACTGACCCAAGGGATGTCCATCATAGTATTTTCCCCCTCATTACAGGATGTTTCCCAGGACCCCTTATTGTATTTATTTTTCGTATCATTTTATTATCCTTTAATCTGGAACGGTTTCTTCAGCTTCTCTTTGTCTTTGATGACAATATTTTTTAATAATAAATGCCCCTGCCTTTCTAATAAAATGATCCTCAATTTCCACAGTTGTGACTGATTTATTCAATTCTTCTATTTCTTCCTGGTTTGGTCTTGGTAAACTATATTGTTCTAGAATATTGTTCTTTTCTTCAAAGTTATTAAATGTATTGGCATACAGTTGCTCATAATAATCTCTTATGAACCTCTGTATTTCTATGCCATCTGTGGTCATCTCTCCTCTTTCACTCCTAAATCTGTTTTTTATTATTTTCTATCTTCTTTTCATTTTAGCCTAGCTAGTGGTTTATCAGTTTTGTCTATCTTCTCAAAGAACCAATTCTTAGTTTCAGTGATTTTGGGGGGATTTTTTTTTTAATTTCTATTTTATTTCTGCTCTTTTATTATTTACTTCCTTCTACTAACTTGGGTCTTATTTTCTTTTAAAGATTTGTTTTTATTTATTTATGCATACAAGAATTGGGGTGTAGACCAGAAGTGCGGGGAGTGAGAGGATTCACCAGAGACAGGGTGGGGAGCAGAACAGGTGGATCTACTGAAATACACTGCTGAGGGGAGCAGTGGGCAAGACAACAGAGGTTAGAAATCTGGCCAGGGATCTAATTCAAGCTGCAGTGGCTGGCGATAGCTTGACCCTTTAACTTGGGTCTTATTTGTCTCTCTTTTTCAAGTTACATCAGGTAAAGTTTTAGGGTAATTTGTGATTTTCCTTGCTTCTTAATGTAGGCCTGTGTCTCATGGATCATTTTCCTTTGTTGCCTAAGGTATAGTGTCCTTAACCCTTATTTTGTATATTTTGTCCTTTTTTGTGATTGTTTCAGATGGTAGGATAAGCTAGTTGCAGTTATTCCACCTTATCTGGAAGAGATGTAGCTATCATAGTTTTTAATATAAGTGTACATGGAATTTAAAGGTATCCCAGGATCAGAATGATCCCTTACCTTATCAACGTATCATCATCAACAATGACTAACCATGCTATTTTGTCATAGCTATGATTCAAAAATCTTTCCAAAATGGCAAATGTCTTTCCACAATGACCTAGGAAAGATAAAAAGAAAACTTACAATGCATTCTTTTCCTTAATATATATATAATCTGTTGTAAAATATATTTTAGCTTTAAAGTGTTATAAGTAAAATCCTAAACATTGACAAATACTTTAATAATTTCAGATTTTTTTAATTAGTTTTTTCTAATTTCATAAGCATAGTAAACCAGAAGGAACTTAACAGATCATGAAGTCTAAGTCATTCATATCATTCATGCAGAAATGGAGACATAGAGATAAGAGGAATTACACAAGGTCAGATAGCTAATTTGAGGCAGAGATAGGAGGAGTAGCTTCACTCCAGGCAAACAAGATAGTTGTAGGCCTCAGAGAAATTATACAAACCTGGCCTGTTTTCTTAGATATACTTATTCTGAAGGAACTGTTAGAATCCCAAGTGCAAGCGATGGTATTCAATTATTTTATAAATATTTGCTAGATATTGTGGCAGTTCTAAGACAGGCACTAAAGTATTGAATACAACAGTCACTGTCCTTCAGATGCCAACAGATAAATGACTATACTTTAGTGGAAAATGCTAGGGTCAGGATAAGAATAAAATGTATAGAAGCAAATTCAAGTGAAAAAATAGGAAGATGCCTCTCATTGTAAGAAAGCATTTGGTGACAATAACATTAATTAATTAAATATTAACTAATCACTATTAAACCATTCAATAAGAATTTTATTTTATTTATTCTTGATCTCATTTTGTATTTCTAAGTATTATGGTATGTATTTTTGAAAGTCATCTCAAATTCCTTGTGTAATAAGGTAGAATATAAATACAAATAAAAACAAGGTCAGATTAAAAATATAATTAAGAAATTAAATAAAGATTGCATGAATAAACAAGTGATTGTTAAAGCCAACCTTAAATGAAGTCCAAAAGGCAAGATCTACTAAAAAAAATTCAATCTAAGATCAATTTTTTAAAAACAGTAACAGAGACTCAGTTATTTAACCTTGTCAGAAGAACTGATAACTACAGGAATGGCACATCCAATTCTATGTTGCACTTTATCAAGCAAAAGGTACTGTGAGTGAGACTACATAAAAAATTAAATTACCCTCTAGAACAAGGTAATCAGCTCCTACTATTACTTTTCTGATTCATAAAAGGGTTTGGGGAACCAGAAAACTAAAAGAAAAATGTGGTGGGAACACTAGATAAAAATTGAATCAACAAAGAGCATCTGAAGGTGAGGTGGCCAAATTTCTACTTGTGCTTTTTTTAAATAAAAATTGTTTTTATTAGAAAGCCTGCAATCTGAAGAGAAAAGCAGGTATACATCTAACAATTTCTTAACTTAAATATGAATATCTAAGTCTAAAGATGTGTTTTTCATAGAGTCTATACTACACATACCCAGTGTCAAATGTGGGTAAGCACAACTCAGAGGTAACTACAAAACACGAGTCAGACTCCATGGGTATAGGAAATGGTCAGGTTCATTCCTACTTCCTCAGTGGCTGGAATTCAGCCATCAAACAACAATCCTGGCTGGTAAAATTGCTAAAGTTAAATGAGAAGTTTTGTGTGAGAAGATGATAATTTAGCCCCATTATGGCTATGATGAATTATAAAGGTTCTTTTTAAAATATCTATTTTTAAACTCTAAATTGTCATGCACTCAACTGCCATCAATAAGACCTACTAAAAACTACCAACTTCTGTTGGTACTATAAAGCAGCTCTTAATCTAAAATAATTCATACATATCCATAGGTAACAATGTTGAGAGGGGAAGAGAGAAAAAAATTTCATGAGGCAAAAATTAGGGCATTTATACAACATTTTATTTTTACCCTACTTTAATTTACTGTATTTACAGAATGGACATTCTGAATAAGAGAAGTAATAAGAATTCACGACCCACCTCTATCTGTATTAGGAATTCCCAAATCTACTGTAGGAATCGAACTTTCCATGTGGTCACTGTAGTATTCAATGAAGCTCGCCTGGCCCTCCCAAGTTTGCTTCACAATAGGTACTGAAAAAAATCAGAGGTGACCATCACTGGCACAGTTATGTAGGAAAGCTTGGAATCTCAAAAGGCAGCTGCATCACCTATAAAGGGACAGACCCACTACTTGTTATCTGTCAGTTTCTTCAAAACTTTGAGCTTGCTTATCTACCTGAGAAATGTCCAAGTGATTTATTCATTGTAGCACATGAATAAACTCCTCCTCTTAAGGCATTTTCAATATACCCTAGAGTCAAATACATCTCATTCCTGGCAATAAACACATACATTTCCATGTAATGATAAATTTTCTAGTTTGATTATACTGTCATGTTTAATTTAAACTAATTTTTCTCTTTCCCTGATGGGCTATTTAAAATTCACAACTGGATTTTTAAAAATTTTAGGGGGATAGGGAGTATAATTACTTCTAAGAATTGGAATATTCTTTGTGGTTCTGACTAAAATGCAAATCTGTCTTCCTTACAATGGAGTGGTGAGGGAAGAGGGACCTTTTCAAACTAAACACATCCTCACCCAAAGAGTCTATCAGGACCACCCAACCCTGTAAAGCATAACCCTGCCACTTAGAAGCACCACGCATTATAGCGTATTATGTTGCATTTTTGAAAAATGTAGAAGAAATAAGATTGATAATTATAACAAATTTTAAAGCTATATCATGAACAGATAAATTGTTTTAATAAGTGAACACAAACAACAGAAAACTTCACTGGTTTTCTGAACTTCAGGTGAAATGCTCAAAGATAGCTTTGCCTCAATGCCTAACATATTCTTCCTGATGATTATTTGGTATTAATTCATTTAACCAACTAGTCAAGTAATTATTTTCTCTATACCTTTTTAAAGTTACTGTCTACATTTTAAGAAGAATGGGTTTCTATTGTTTTATTTTTGTTTAAGATTTATTTTTATTTATTTATGCATACAAGAACTGGGGTGTAGGCCAGAGGTGCAGGGGGTGAGAGGATTCACCAGAGACAGAATGGAGAGCGGAACAGGCAGATCTACTGAAATACACTGCAGCAGCAGAGAGGGGAGCAGCAGGGGAGACAGGAGAGGTCTGCTGTAGCAAGTGAGTCAGCTCCCTGGAGGGTCGATAGCTTGATAGTACTATGGCTTACCCCCTTGCGCCATGAGGGAGACCCAGGTTTCTATTGTTTTAATAGAAAAGATCACCATATCTAGATTTTATACTTCGTTAATTCAAGAATTTCAATTCCAATGAACCAAATCTTCTGGTCAGTATATTGAGACTTTATCAGATCATTTATTTTTTGCCTTTTACCCAGCCCAAATCAAAACAACATTATATGCAAATCTGCCAATGCAATGCCAAATGCTTAGCCATGCAGGTCAGCTAACTCAAAGTCAAACTCAGCCTGTGGGGCCTCCCTGGTGGCGGTGGCACGGTTGAGAGCAGCGGTTGAGAGCAGCAGCGGGTTGAGAGCAGCACTGTGAAGCTGTCCACACCCTCTGCAGCTCAAATTTGATTCCTGGCCGGCCAGGGACATTCCCACATGGAGGGGCAGACCTCTCCTGTCTCGCCCGCTGCTCCCCTCAGCAGTGTACTTTGGTCAGTCTGCCTGTTCTGCTCCCCGCTCTGTCTCTGGTGAATCCTCTCACCCTCCTGCACCTCTGGCCTGTACCCCCGCTCTTGTATAAAAATAAGTAAATCTTTAAAAAAATAATAATAATTAAAAATAAATAAATAAACTCAGCCTGTGTACAAAAATAAAAAGTGCACCATTCTACAGCCCATTATAGTTTTTAAGAAAGAAAAAGACTTGTGGATTTTGATCATTTGCTCCAAAAATCTACAGATTACCTATTAAAATACAGTTTTTCTGAAATCATAAAAAGGCAATAGATTTCTCTATGTCAAAACAGGCCAAGATGCATTTAATAATATTTAGGGTTACTGGGGAAAGGAAGTGGGAGGAAAAAGGAAAAAATAATCTGTGCTAATTTCAAATACCAGCACAACAAAAACCTTAACCTTGGCATTACAGAGACAGTTTTGCATATAATAAACAGGACTTACCCCAAAAAGGGCTCCCTGCAGCTTGCAGTCACTAAATGTTCACTCTTGGGTAAAATGTCCTCCACTGCTGAAAGAAGCTGTGAGGAAAGGTCAAGAATTTTCCTCAGCTCCTTTTTCCCCTCTGCACTTGGTCATGCAAACTGCAAAATTCTGTTTTCATTTTCCTCGGCATTTAGCCTTCAGTTCCTGTTTGTGCCAATAGTTTTATTAAGCCGCACAGGTGTTTTTTCTCAATTCACCAATTAAAGTGAAATTAAAATCAAAATCAAGGGTAAATTATCTCTTTGCTATACCTAACTATGTGCTTTCAGTTTTAGTTTGAAATATTGGAAACAAAAAGTCTACTGGAGAGACAGCAATTTTTATCTTACAGCAGTTCACCTTTATACAAGACTTGTACCACTATTACCAATCAACTGTACTAAGGTGTTGTAACTCTATAATACCAAAAACATCCAAGAGTTTGTGTCCTCTGTCCCCTCATCAGTATAGCTGCTGTGATGCACATCTATCTCATCTGTCAGCTATAAATAATTTAAAGAAACACCTTAGTCTTCTGTAACAGGCAGAGTAAAGCTTTATTTTCAACTAAGGTTGATTTCAAATCACTTAAAACTTTAAAAATATTGGCCTGTGTTATTAGTATTGTTTGAACTCTAACTCAAATTTATTTTATCACATATACGTTATATTGTATTGAGATACTACATTACTAAAGATATTAAACTTTGGGTAATATTTCAATATATTTTCAATACATGACCTAGTACCTTAATTCCAGGAAATAGAAACATATTTTCTATCACATAACAAAGCAATAGTGAATCATCTTTTAAGCAAAGGAAGAATTGTACTGCTCAAAAAGTCCACTGCACAGATGGCACAAGCCTTCTGCATGATATTACAGACTCTAAGCAGGAGACGTCTCACTACGAGGCACAGAACACAAATTTTTACCACCAGTGAATTTACTAGCAAAATTCTGATTACAAGTGAAAATGAACTGGAGCACTTGAACACTGTACAAAGACTACCACAAAATCGACTGTAAATGACTTGATATTAAGGAAATTGCTATTTGCAATTTACAAATGGACCTTTTGTTTCAGTTAGAAAGCCTACAACTCAAAATAAACCCTGATTGTTCTTCCTTTCTCAGGAAAGGGCTAGAGACACACCCAAAAGTGTGCTATGATTCCTGATTTTAAAGATGAGGTGCATATAACACTGAAAAACATGGCTCTTGTCTGATGTATAATATACTTTAGGGTAAAAGGAAACATCTTTAGCTGGTAAACAGCCAGGAGAACTGAACCAGGCAATACCTGACCCCCTCCCTCGCTTTAATGATTAATCCACTCACATCATTTAACACAGGGAGTGGTGATCTGTCTGGCTGTGTTTCAACTCATGCCTCATTTTTTAAATTAAGATTGTACTACAGTACCTTAAGCCTCTCTAATTAAGGAGAACACAGCTCCTTTTAATAAAATTATTCAGATTTGTCTCTTCTAGACAAGATCATTGCAGTAAAGATATCAGGTAGGTTTTTCTTTTAATCTGAAAGGAATAAAGTATTTTTAGGAGCTCATGAAGCTGTGAAAAAGAACTAAAGGCTGAGCAAGTAGCAACTTAACCTCTAGTTAATTAGAGGGAGACCACAGGAGGACCATCTCACAGCCCATCATATGAGGAACAAAAACAATGGCTGCCACCACATGCTTGACACATGCTCAGGAACCACATGGCAAAATGAGGCAAAGAAAATTCCTGACATTTTCTGACAGCTAAGTCACACAATGAAAAACACATAACCCAAGAGGAAGTGGTAAAGCTGAATATTAAAACTCCAGAGATCTTTTACTTGTTTAAATATAATTTGACATGCTAGGCCATACTCATTGCTTTATATAATAGTTTTAAAGTTTCTTTAAAATGCTACTAAATGCTTGCATTGCAGGGAGTGGTGCTATTTTGATAGTGTCAATATATATTACTTTCTTAAGCCAAAGAACAGAATATATTTTTTGCTGTTTCTAAGAGTGCTATATTTCACTTAGATCAGAATGCATATATACAAGCAGTTACATAAATGTATCACTGGTAGGCAAAAATAAATACATGTAAAATAATTTCTCAAAATTTCAAAACTTGGCTTTATTATCAATCTCTCTCTTCCATGAGAGTATAACAAATGAGTTCAGTGTATATTTCCCTTTGTTTGACTAGAATTTTGAACAGAATGTTCCATCCCTCATCCTCATCCTGGAGGTGGCGAACATTATAAGGAACCATGAGTGGGTGCTACCTCTGTGTCCTCTTCTACTCAGTACCCAGGGTTGGTACACCCACAGTGAGAACTTACCACCACATAAGTCACTAACAGTATAGTCAACTCTCAAACTTTCAAAGATACAGTCCACCTACATTTTTTTCCCTGTTATTATCATTTAGCTTTCGTAATTCCAAGTGTTTCTTTCTAGCACAGAGTACACAAGAGCAGAAAAAAGAAGGAAGCACCCCAGTACATGTATTCTGCTTGACAGCTATAGTAATATGCTTGGACAGGGATGGCAGTCTAAATTCCCAGTCCATTGTGTATTTTAAATCATCTGTGGATTTCAACACATTGCTATTCCCCATATTACTAAAAATAAAGAGTCTACTTTCACAGCTTCTGGCCAAGTCAAAACTGACCTTGAGCAAAGCAGGGCAGCGACATGAATATCAAATACTATTTATCAAATGTTAGGTCTGTGGAGAGTACAGTAGAGCTGTGCTGGGAAAGAAAGTGGGGATTTGGAGCAGGAAGAACCTGCATCCCTGCTCACCTACTCAACAGTCTACAAGAACTGGGGCTGGTTGTCTCATCCCATACTCAGCTTCTCTGTAACAACAAGTGAATAACAATAATTATCACCTCACAAAGAATTGTCATCCTGAAATTAGATGACAGAATGTATGTGAAAAACACACCAGAAAATATTTTTAAGAGTAGCAGAAACAGTTACTACGGTATCGTCACTGTAAAGTAATATGATTAACTGGATAATTCCTTGGGCCAATTGGTGGCTAGACTAGACTTTGAAATGGAGGGGCAGAGTCTTTTCACTTCCATCAAGAAAATGGGACATCGAAGTACCTAAAATCCTGCTGCCTTTAAACTATCTTTTTAAAAAAATATGTCCACATTTAAAGAAGACTTGCCACAGAAACTCTGCTGCAAAAGCTTCATAGGTATTCCTAATACCTTTCAGGCCTCATGCTTCAATGACTCCAGATAATTAACAGCAGCAAATCAATGCATCTGGTTTTAGGAGGTTTGTTTTTAGTGCTTCTGACGGGCTGTGTAATTTTTAAAGACCTCTGACTCAAAATTCAAATATAAAAGCTTTTAATAGGTATCAGAAAAGATTATCTCAACCTTATGCAAAACAAGAAAGCAATAAACCAGATAATTCAAAATTACTAAATTAAAATTAGTCAACTTTTTCAAATCAGTAAATATGAAAAATACAAAAGAACAAGAAGGCTCCCTAATTTAACTGCTTTGCTGTCACATGAAAAATGTATTTCAAAAGAGAAACTATTACCTCCACTTCCACCACTATCACCACAACCCCATCACAATTCTTAATATCAATATTATGAAACAATTACAACCCCAAGTACAACTTTACAAGAAAGTAAATCAATGCAAATACACTGCCAGCTATAAGACATTAAATATGTAAATATTTAAAGAATAAACAAAAAAAAGGCAACATAATTATGTCCTTTGATACTTTTAAAAAAACTTTTGTTCAGCCTCCCTGGTGGCACAGGGGGTTAAGTCTCAGCACTATTAAGCTATCACCAGCCACTGCAGCAGGAGTCTGATGCCCAGCCCGGCAGGGAGCAACCCGCATAGTCCAGCAGGCCTCTCCTGACTCACCCGCTGCTCCCCTCAGCAGTATATTTCAGTCAATCTGCCTGTTCTGCTCCCCACTCTGTCTCTGGTGAGTCCTCTCACCACCCCACCTCTCCCCACCACCTCTGGCCTACACCCCAGCTCTTGTATGCATAAATAAATCAATCTTTGAAGAAAAAAAAAGTTTGTCAAAATCCCTGTCAGATTATGAAAAATAACAAGAGGATATTAAATTTAGGAAAATTTGTGAAAAATGAAAACTTTTATTGCTATGTTGATTTTTTTAAAATGTTTCTGGACTCCTTATATAATGAATGCACATATTTATTTAGGTTGACTTGTTAAAACTTTTCATTATTGAAGAAACACCACTTTACAACACTGTATACAACTCGAGGAATAGGTTTGCACCTCCTCAGTTGTCACACACCACTCCTATCATCAAAGCACCCACAGTCCTTTACCCCAGGCCACTGGGTACCCTCCCCCCTTGTCCTCTTTTTAGCCTGACTTAAAAGGACGTAAAACTTAATATACTGAATTAAACATGAAAGTTTATAGTTGACTGTTCATTATACTTTCACAGATTGTTGATTATAACCAGGTTATATAGTTCCTGTCAATGCCTTAGACAATATGATAATCACATATTACAAAATTCTTTTATTTGGAAAATATGTCCCCTTTAAAATATAATTTGTATCAAATTATCACATAAATCATTAAAATAAATTTTCCCCATAGCTCCAAACCCATGAAAATAACAGCTGGTTTAGAAATCTCTCCTATATAAATATCACACCCATGGAGAAATCGACAGTCTTTTCATGGAAAAAACAAATTAAAATATGTGATAAAATTTGAAAATGTAAGACTGTCTAATCTTCAATTTCAGAAAAGTACTACTTGAAATAAGGTGAAAATGAGAAATCATGTCCATTTATATTTTGGGTGGGCCTTTTTTTTAATATTATCATCAAAACTTAGCGGAATTCTTAAATAATAACAAAACCTTGAATAAAACAACATTCTTCTATGTACCTGGATATCCTAACCTTCTTCCTTTTCATCAATGTATCTACTCATGAACAAAACACATTTCAAAGTCCCAGTGTGCACAATTGGCACAGATTGGCACTTTGAAATGAATGTAAAAGAAGGAGTGGTCTTCAAGAAACCATTCTTTTTTGGCATTCTGTTTCCTTGAAATCCCCTCTAATGGCCTGGACATAACACAACACTGTTTTACAAAATGGATTTTTATGCACATGATGTCTCCAAGATTGATACAGCTGAGCTTTTTCCATTTCCAATTTAAAATACTACTCTAACACTATTTAGAAAGTCTATGGCCACTCATATTTCAATACAAAGTCGTCCTTTCTAATGATCTCGGAGAAGTGGTACGATGAGGAATACTGATTAAGTAACTGTCTTCACTTCAACAATAGATATGCCATCCCTCCTCTGAGTTTTCATCTGGGTTGTTTTTTTAAAAAGGCAGTTTGGATTTCAAAAGTTCAATAAAAAATGAATAGCTCAAACGTACTTCTATCACCATGAAATTTCTTGCATGTTTTTACTGCAACAAAAATATCCTCCTTCTTCACTGGATTTCCCTAAAAAATAAGACAAAAATATGTGTATATATGAGTCAACATTATCTTAACTTCACACTCACATTAGATCTCACAGATCTAGAGTTCAAATGTCAGAGATATCAAACTATTTCCAGGATTAAGTTTTAGAGCCAAAGAGAACTGTACTTTCACGGACACAAAGCCTTTGATGTCAGCCGCCCTGGGACTGAATCTCAACTCAGCCATTTATATAGTCCTTTACCCCAGGCCACTGGGTACCCTCACTCCTTTGTCCCCTTTTTAGCCTAACTTAAAAGGACATGACTTAATATACTGAATTAAACATGAAAGTTTATAGTTGACTGTTCATTATACTGGACAAGTTTCCAAAGTTCTATGAATTTCTGTGTCCTCATTTAGAAAATAGAAATAATAACAACCAGTAAAGTCTACGATTACTATTATTTATTAGCACATGGTAGGTGCCCAATAAACATATTACCTTCCCTTCCTTTTCTCCAGCTCTAGGATAGAGGTAGGGAGATGTGTTAGTACAAATACAAATAGTACAAAATATGACTCCCTTTTGTGGGCCCAGATTCACTTTGATGTTTGAAGTACTTTTATTGTCTACCCTAGACTAGGCTACAATGATATTCTGTCCTCTGCCAAAGGTAGGATTAATTCAAACCCCTGGGGATGGGGAAAGTCCTGGAGCCCTGTGCTGGCTCCAGGCAAGCTGATCCCTCAGCTGAGAGGGAGCAGAGAAAGGTATGTGGACAACCCATACCTGAGGCCATGGACTGCTTCATGGGGCTGGGGATTCTGATCCCCTTATCAATGGTCTTAGGCCTATAATAACATTCAATCATGACTCCCACATCTTTTGGGGTTAGTTTAGAGTAACTTATAAACAGTATTGTCAGGTCATTCAAGATACTAGGAGGTTGACCCCTTCGGATTTCCTAAAAAGAGTATTTAAAAAACATGCCAGCATGTCTGAAAAGACAGGTCTTCCCCCCTTGGGAATTATGTGAACATTACAGTTTCTCTCCCATTGTTGCAGTGCATGTGTATGTGTGTGTGTTTATAATATGTATTTTTGAAATTTCACACACACTATTAGTGATTGGGATGAGAATAACAGACATTTGAGGGTGGTGAACATATTTTTCCTTATGAGGAATTATTGTCAACAACTTTCAGGGGTCTTCAGATTCATCCTGGGGACCAGACAAGAGTCTGCTTTAACAACTAAGTTCATCCTGAAAATTCTAGACAGTCTCAGATAAGATGAAAGCTGGGGCAAACAGCAGAGAGGGTCAAGAACATGGGCTTGAGGCAAAAGTTCAGGTATGATGGAAAATGTTTAAAATTGCCTTTCTAGGAAACAAAGGAGAAATGTCAAAAGATAAAGCTCTATCATCAACAACAAAAATTACTTTGGGTGCACTGACTTGAGCTGTGGCAGGCACACCTCCCAGATACTGAGAGTTCAGTTCCAAACCACCAAAGTGAATGTTGCAATAAAGTGAATCACAGGAATGTTCTGATTTACCAATGCATAGAGAAGCTGTACTTGACATTGCACTGTATCTTTAAGCATAATATCCAATAGCATTATGTCTGAAAAAGTGTGCATAACTTAATTACATGTGACACAGAGATACAAAGTGAGCACATGCTGTTGGAAAAATGGTCCCAACTGACTTGTCTGATGCAGGATGATCACAAACCTTCAGTTTGTTTTAAAAAAAAAAAAGCGAAAAAAGTGATACCTGCAAAGCATAATAAAGTAAGGTGCAATAGAGAAGAGGTGCTACACTCCATGAAGGTTCTGGAGTGAGACTGTACCAGTGATAATCCTCACTCTCCTCCCTACTTGCTGGATAATCTTGAGCAAGGACTTCTCCCCCTTATATGTAAAAGGGAGTAACAGCAGAGCTTACCCCTATGTTTATTGCAGCACTATTGCAGTACCTCTATGTTTATTGCAGCACTATTTACAGTAGATAAGGCCTGGAAACAACCCAAATGCCCAAAAATAGATGACTGGATCAAGAAGATGTGGTATATATACACAATGGAATATTGCTCCACAATCAAAAAAGATAAACTCATGCCATTCGCAGCAATGTGGATGGAGCTAGAAGGAATTATGCTGAGTGAAATAAGTCAGTAACTGGTTCTTACCTGGCACATAACAAATGCTGAATTTTTTTCAACATTATGTACAGTATGCCCATTGCTCTTTGATATACAAATAAATTTTCCATCTATTACTTACACAAAGTGGTAGAAAAGAATGGAATGTAGTAGCACAGGAGGAGTCCACACCATCTGTACAAAACTCAGACACTGGAGTAAGGGGCGGTCCATTGCCTTTGTCCCAGATGTAGAGGGCAATCTGTCACGCAACAGGAGATGACAATGAAGGAATTCAGCCCACACTGCAAAGCAGGAGGGTGAAATATCGAGGAAAGCAGACCACACCTTCTATAGTAAGCATCTGACTAAACCACAATAGTTTGTCAATATTCAACTGGATTTATTTACTTACAAAAATAGTAATTTCCATGTAAATCAATCTAATCTTTTGTTAACAATAAACAATCAACTGAAAATGACTATTCTGATCTCCAAAAAATGCCCAAGTTGTCATAAGCAATTTTAGGGAAGCTATTTCAGTGATTCAAAAGCATCACAGGGAAAAGTACCCTGACTGGTTCCTTGCAGTATGGTAATTAGATACCATGGATGACCAACTTATTGAAAATACCTAAAAATGTTGGATTAAAGTATTTTTAAAATCACTTTTTAAATATTGCTAAACTGACACACAAGTGTGGCACTCATGAGGCAAAAATGCAAAAGTAAGACCTGGGAAGAAAGGGCATCAAGGGCAGTTTTCCTCTGGGTATCAGCTAACTCTGGTGAGGCCGAGTTTCTGATGGGAGTTAAGAGAATAAAGTCTATGTGGGGTGTGTTCAATAGCAAACCTCCACATAAGGGTGGGACTTCAAAGCTAGACTGAGGGGAACAATTATATCCAAACCTCCTCTGAGATTTTGTAACCAAAACCATTGTTGTTACCTTGGTAGAGAGAAGATGGGTGAGTAGGGGAGAGAGGGGGTTGCACTGCTGAGAATCACAAATACAAGACATGAATTCTTGATTACTAAAGTTTTTACCCAAATCAAACATGACATACCTCGTGTTTTAAATCTATTGTAAAGTCAGATTTGAGGGAGTCACTCTTTAATCTCTTGGTAAGCCTAGAAAAGAGAGATACCTTGAGTTTTTTTTAACCAGAAGAAAGGTCAAACAAGTATAACACATTCTTGAGATTTTCTAATGTTTGAAAACTGATAAAAATCCAAATTTTAACATTAAAATAAAAGTTTAAATGGCCAACAGGCATATGAAATAACATCCCTTATAATCAGGGAAATGCAAATCAAAACCACATTGAGATACCAGTAAGAATAGCATATATCAAAAAAACTAGCAACAGGGCCTCCCCGGTGGCACAGCAGTTGAGCGCTGGGTTGCAAAGCTGCCCGCAGCCTCTGCAGCGCCGGTTCGATCCCTGGCTGCTCCCCGGCCACTGGAGGAGGGTCCCACATGGCGCGCAGACCTCTCCTGCTGCCCGCTGCTCCCCTCAGCAGTGTACTTCCGTCCTTCTGCCTGCTCTGCTCCCTGCTCTGGCTCTGGTGAATTCTCTTACCCTCCCGTGCGTCTGACTGTACCCAGTGCTTGTATGTACAATCAAACAAACAAACAAACACATAAATAAATAAATCTTAAAAAAAAAAAAACTAGCAACAACAAATGTTTGTGAGGATGTGGTGAAAAAGGAACTCTCCTACATTGCTGGTGGGAGTGCAAACTGGTCCAACTACTTTGGAAAGCTGTCTGGAGGGTCCTCAGTCTACTAAAAATGTAGTTACCATCTGATCCAGCAATTCCACTCCTGGAGATCTACCCAAGGGACACAAAAACATTGAGTCAAAAGAACACCTGTACCCCGATGTTTATTACAGCACTATTTACAGTAGATAAAGCCTGGAAACAACCCAAATGCCCAAAAATAGATGACTGGATCAAGAAGACGTGGTATATATACACAATAGAATATTGCTCCGCAATCAAAAAAGATAAACTCATGCCATTCGCAGCAATGTGGATGGAGCTAGAAGGAATTATGCTGAATGAAATAAGCCAGAAGGAAAAAGAAAAATATTGGCTGGTTTCACTTATAGGAGGAATACAGGGGAACCAAATAAGACATTAGTGTGAAAAAATAACAATACAAAACACAACAAATCAAAAACAGACAAATATAAATCAGAGATAGCCTGCAGGGAAGGAGAAGGGAGAAGGAACATAGGGAGGGAGAGAGGAGCACAGGGGACTGAGGTGATGGTGCACGGGTGCATTGGTGAAGGAAATTCTATGGGGACTACACATGGGGGCAAGGGGAAGCAAATATTGTTTAAAAATGAACAATGATGTAAAAAATAAATAATTTTTAAAAGACCCCCCCAAAAAATACCACTACATGTTAATACAAATAATGCATATTTATATAAAAAATGAAAATTTCCAAAATAAAATACACTCAATTAGGGGAAAAAAAGGGTTAATTTCCTTGAGGCAAAGGATTATAAAATGCAATTATTTGTTTACCAGGAAACGAACACAAGGATTATTGCAAAGAAGCATTCATGACTTCAACATCTGGGAATTAACAGGTAATAAAATACAATATAATAAACAAAATGCTTTTTTTAAAAAGGCCATGTGGTTTGACTCCTGATAGTCCTCCCACTAAATAATGATAGAAAAGAAAAAAGGCTCACATGACCGAAAAACAAAAGTCATTAATTTTCAGTGTCGTACTCTTAACAACACAGTGAGTTGTAGTTTGGTAGAGATTTTAGGGAGATATTCATGTGACTTCAGGGAAGAATAACAATTTGACTTAGTCATTTTCTTTAATGACTTAAAATCCTCAATGGCTCCTTTCAAAGCAGAGCAAAGCCCCAAACCCAAGCCAAGCTGGGAGCCCCACCATTCCCGCCCCCATGCCCAGCTTCTCAGCACCACCTGTCATCTCCAGAGCACACCCCTGCCCACTGCTCTCTCTGCCTCTCAGCTGCCTGATATGTTGGGTCAATACCTGTACTTGTAAAATTTTCTTTGAGACCAAATTCAAGAGCACCTTCTCTACGATACTTTTCCAGCCTTGCCCACAAACATAATGGAAACTGCTTTTGCTCCCAGACAGAAGCACAGCCCCATTAGCTTTATCACACACTACAATCTGTCCTGTTCTAGTTCATCTAAGTGCTGTCAGCCCCACCCACTGTACCTGACTAAAATGAGCACTCAGTGATCAGCCTGAATGTACAGGGCAGTAGAGTCCTGCTTCAAAGCTGAGTGAGGTAGAGTCACTCACCAAGACCATCAAGTGCCACAGAATTACATATTTGTTCCAGGCCTGGAAACTGGACCATTAGTTTCAATTACAAACCTCCTAATACACTTTTTACCTACAAAGAAATAATAGTGATTTTAAAAAGGAAAGTAGCAATAAGTTTCAAAGATCTTTACTGAGTTTCTTGCCTGGTTGAACAAACAAAACTTTCCTTTAAATTTTATTTTTAATTAGAGGAAATATAAGATGAACACAAGTTGTAATTTATAAATTAGGTTATAAACATAGTCACAAAGCATTGTCTGCTGGCTGATATTAACATAGTTTGGGGGCCTCCCTGGTGGTGTAAGGGGTTAAGTTGCAGTACTATGAAGCTATTTGCAGCCACTGCAGTAGGAGTTTGATCCCCTGCCGGGCAGGGAGCTAACACACATGGTGCAGCAGACCTCTCCTGTCTCTCCCTCTGCTCCTCTCAGCAATGTATTGCAATCAGTCTGCCTGTTCTGCAACCCACCCTGTCTCTGGTGAATCCTCTCACCTCTCACACCTCTGGTATATACCCCAGTTCTTGTATGCATAAATAAATAAATAAATCTTTTTACAAAAATCATAGTTTGCTGGCAGGTAGCAACCCAAGGAAGCCCTGTGTAATCTCTCACCCTCCTGCTGGGTACCTGTCCACAGGTTTTTAAGTAGGAGTGGGCGAGGATACACAGACACAACATTCGCAGATACATTCTCAATATATATTAACAGAAAAAAGTCTGCCCTGACAAGTGAGATCATGCCCAGTTCGAATTCTGCTCTGTGGGAGCCAGTTTTTATAAATAAACTGTATCAAGGGAACTGTGGGATTTGGACTCAGGCCAAGTGCCTTCAAAATCTGATCAGACCACATTCAGACTCCAAGGACAACATCATGCCAGGGCTGACTGCCACAGGCCTGGACACGAAGCTGTGCTCCAAATCCAGTGGCCAGTGACACCCTCTGTTAGGTGGCCAGTCTTCACAGGCCTCTTCTTAATGGACAACAAACACCTTTTAATTGGTAGTGTAAACATAACCTTTACTGTTTGGCTTTTGAAAGTTTTTCTTTTGGTGAATCCTCAGAGAGAAAGAAAAGGGAAGACTGGCGAGCCAGACAATAACTGGTTAGAGGACAAATAAAAATGCACAGTCATGTTTCTATGGGCTTAGCTCTAGCTGCCAGGGGAGTCTACCACATCCAAGGGAGAGCTACCTCAACATCATGGACTTCCTGTTGAAGATGTGGCCTCATGTAACACTAGTGTCTAAGCCAATCACAAATGTGTCAAGTTCTATGTGTACAGGGCAATCACCTACCTTAAGAGGCAACTCCTAGCAGTGGGAACTAGGTTTCCTTCTTTTATGCACCAAGCAAAACAGCACTAGTTCTTCAAATGCTAATTACATAACTAACGATGCCAAAAAAATTAAGGCAAAAGATTCCCATTTTATTTTTTTAAAGATTTATTTATTTATGCATACAAGAACTGGGTGACAGGCCAGAAGTGTGGGGACTGAGAGGATTCACCAGAGACAGAGCCAGGAACAGAACAGGCAGACTGATTGAAATACACTGCTGAGGGGAGCAACGGGCAAGTAAGGAGAGGTCTGCTGCACCATGTGGGTAGCTTCCTGGCTGGGGATTGAACTTGTGCTGCAGTGACTGCTGATAGCTTCATAGGTTGCATCTTAACCCCCTGCACCACAAGGGAGGCCCCAAAATTCCCATTTTAGATAAAATATATCTTCATTAAATACTCAGTCTCTGGCAAATATGACATTTGATATTCAGCTCTCCTAACTTTTAAGAAGGCATTAATTCATGTCACCAAAAAGCCAGTTCTAATTATATAACCAGTCTGGAGATGTATAAGAGACGTAGGGCCCTTCAACTCCTTAGCAGGAAAGCTTCCTAGCTGATTTTTCTAGTGCCACTTTTGAATCAGGTGGCAGAGCAAGATATTGAAGCAAACCTAGATAAGGTTTACTGGGGGAAAAACAAGGGAGAAAACCAGTAACTATTCTGTGATAACACATATTTGAAGAAACCATCTTACCGAAAATTAATGCGTTTCTTCAAAGACACAAGTATTTTTTTTATTGATGTTCTGTTAGAAGGTCACATAAATGAATCACTAGAAACTTTTAGCAGTATTAATTTAAAACACAACAATGTGGGATTCTTAGGCCAAATGATATTTTTGGTGGATAACATTCTAAAAAAGTGCATGTCATGAAATATCATTAACTAATCAGGTTCCTTGGTGACCTAAAATGAAATACTTAGTTACCTATAGATTGTTGCCCTATCTGCTAAGCCAGCTATAAATGCAAGAAAAGGATACAAAGGAATCAACTGTCCTATAGAGGGCGCTGTTGGCCACAACAGAGCTATCTCTTCCTTCTTACTAAGAATTATGATTATGATTAAATATCCAGCCCAACAATGTATATTACCACAGTCAGAATTACTTTGATTCCAACTAAAGCACTGAATTCCCTGGCAACTGCTAATGGTGCAGGGTTGGTATTTGGCTAAAGTTGGACCAACCAACTTTAGGTTTTGGGTTTGTTTTTTTTTTTAAGATTTATTTATGCATACCAGAACTGGGGTACAGGCCAGAGGTGCGGGGGTGGGGGGTAAGAGGGTTCACCAGAGACAGAGTAGGGAGCAGAACAGGTGGATCCACTGAAATACACTGCTGAAGGAAGCAGAGGGAGAGTCGGGAGAGGTCTGCTGCACCAAGTGGGTTAGCTCCCTGGCCAGCCAGGAATCGAACTCCTGCTACAAAGGCTGCAGATAGCTCCATAATGCTGTGACTTAACTCAATGCACCACCAAGGAGGCCCAAGGACCAACCAACTTTGTTTGGACAAGATCCAACTGAGATTGAGCAGAAGCACTTAAATCCATGATTTCTTTTTCTTTTTCTTGCCCTCCCCCATCACTGTCTCATATATCACCTTGTCTCTTTCCTCCTCCCCCCACCCTCTTAACCTCAGAACCCTCACTTTATTTAGTAATGTCCACTGGCTTTCGTAAGTATTACATTACATAAATTCTAGTAATTGTCTTTTGTCATTCTTTACTACACAATTCCCTCAAACTCCCTTCATTTTGCTATAAATGGCAACATTTCATCTCTCCTTACTGCTGAACAGTATTCTGTAGCGTACATATACCAAACTTCTTGACCCAATCATCAATCAATGGGCATTACATTCCATGGTCTACTGCTGGACATAAATATGTGTAGCCCTTATTACCTTGAGACCACATAAGGAGCCAGATTTAGGATGAACTGGTAATGTGAAAGACAAAGAGAATCAGGTCCTTAACACATTGTTGAATTCCTGCATCAACCAACCATAGGCATCACTGTCCAATTACAGCAATAATATTCCCTTAATCCAGTCTGAATTAATTTTCTGCTACCTGCACCCATGTTAACTGATATAGTTCTAAAAACAGGAGGAAATAAAGTCAGCACTTTAGCTTTAGAACTGGAAAAATTCAGCCCGAATGATCCAATTTTACAACTGATGGAGTAATGGATATACTAGGCATTTGGTTCTAAGTATAATACTAATTTCATTAAGAATGAGAATTTTCTAATAGAAAGCCATCCTAACATCTATTTTAGCCACAAGATAGTTGCTACACTAGAAAGGTTATATCTTTTCGTTTGTTTTATTCTTGTCTGTACCCTAAGAAAAAGGAAATATGTCTAGGGTAACTATGACAGAGTCTGTATTTTTCTTTTATTTTTGCTGGCAGGAGAAAGGAAGGGGGAACAAAGAGAAGACTAGCGATATTAATTAACAAACATTCTATGCTTTGCTGATCATGGTTCACTGTTGTGCTGACAGTAAGCACAGGCTAACTGGTGTCATTCCTCTGTCACTGCAGAGTTATCACGGAAGTGCCAGGAACTTTCTGAACATGTACTGGTCTCCCAACACACCCATACTATACCGACATGAGGCCCTCAGTTTCCTTCCATATCCCAGAAAACAGTATTACATTGACCAGAAAGGGAGGAAGCTGGCAATTGTCCACAGAGGTTTTTAATGGTCTCATAAACATGACAAGGAGAATCATGGGCCTGTGGGACAACCGCTACAAAAGTCCCCTTAACACGACTAATACCTTGGCTAGTGAAGAACCTGAGGCCCAGTTCACAAAGCCCCTGGCTGTTAGTCACATGGTATGAATGAGGCAGTTATGAGATGAGCATAAGTAAGAGCCAGGAGAACCTGCCAAAACTCTGGCTGCCTTGACATGATGAGCAGTGAGGCCAGAGGCAGAGTCACAGACCCAAGAGGACATGTTTGGTTTTTTTGTTTATTTATTTACTTATTTTCACAATGTTTGCTTTCTTTTCTCAGGTGTAGTCCCCATAGAATTTCTACCACCAATTCACCCATGCACCATCACCATAGTCCCTTGTGTTCTTCCCCCCGTCACCCTGGTCTCTTTCCCTCCTCCTCCCTGGCAGGATGTCTCTGGTTTGTAGTTGTCTTTTTATTGTTGTTTGGTTTTGTTGTGGTTTTTATTATTATTATTGTTTTTACCCTTGGTCCCTCATTTATTTCCCCTATAATCCTTCTATATGTAAGGTCATGTTTTGATGCTAGCATACCAAGCAATAAGAGTTGAGCTGCACTGTCCTATAAGAGCACAGCATGAGTCAAAGACATGTTCCTGACAGATCACTTTCAACTACCTGAATGAAAAATAAATAATTTAAAGGGAAGGAAAAATCAGCACCTTACACCTAACTCAATAAAGGCTAAATAGAATTCAACAGCAAGAGATCTTCAAGAAGGTCCTTGCCAAATGGGGACACTGTGATGGTAAGAAGGAAGATGGAACTCTCCAAACTACTAGGATTTACAGCATGAGAGGTCTTCTAGGTCAGAGGGGAGAGATGGAGGAAGGAGGCTGTAATGGCTCCAGAGAAATGGTTATTTCCCCAGGCATACTATGTCAGGTCTACTTAGGTCTGTAGGTTTCCTCTTCAACCCTACGGAAAGAAGGCACACTCTGCACTCAGAGACCTCCATAGGCTACAGCTCTATTGTTCCCTCTTAGGGGACTTAGTTGGTTTTCTGTGAAAAGGGCGAGAAGCAGAGTCATCAAGAGTTTATAACCCCCAAGTCAAAGAAACTATGGTTACACAGTTCTTCTGTGGAGAAGTCTACCCAAAAAATTCCATGTTATGATGCAAAAGAAAGAGAGTGAGGGAGGACTAGAGGAAGACAAAGGACAAGAAGACCAGAAACAGTAACCTGGCCTGGGATATGCTGGCTTCCGAAGAGTCCAGGCTAAAACAAAAAACTGAACTGGCCCTAAGTTAGACAGTTAGAAAAGAGTATCCTGGGAGCTCTTGGTCTTCAAACTGCAGCAAACCCAAGCCTAATTAATTTGAGAATAAATATGATCCTGGGCTGCTGAGTTAGAACATATTCCCTTGGCTCCTACAGAAAGCAGAGCTAGGTAAACCCGCAGAGGGGAGAAGGGGATGATAAATTCCTACTTCTTGCTGGAACATGTGTCAGTCCTCATAGGCATGCTTGTTCCAGGATGGAAGCAAGGCATCCTTGTCAAACAGTTGCAGGATTGGGTACCTCGGTCAAGGTTCTCAGTTGGAGATACAGAATCTACTCTGGTCACTTCAAGCACAATATGCATTCATCAAAGCATATAATGGCTACAGAATTACTACAAAGTCTAAAGAGAGCCAATTCCAACTGCCACAAGCAGAATTGTACCACAGAAATGGGTGGTCAAGGAGCTACGGCCTCTACACCTCAGGGAGTGGCTACATCAGGAAGCCACTATCTCAGCTACCACTTCCCAAGTGACCCCTCCTCTGCCATGGCCTCTAAAGCCATGGATTCCCATTCATTGTCTCCTTTTCTATAAAACTCAGTTCCGAAAAATAATATTCCTTGGGGCAACTACCTGATGGACTTATATCCTACAGTGGCTCCCTAGTAGGAAGGAAGGCATGATAATAGGGATTGTCGTTGTCATTTGGTGATTCTGCTTTGGGAAGGAGGGTATCATATTGCAAAGAACTTTCAAATATGAAGGGAATAATCAAGAAGTTTTGGTGAGCCACAGATATCTACTACCTTTGTATTTACAATGGGCTCAAAAGGTTCTCAAGCCTCCAATCCCTGGCAACAGGACACCAGGTAATAAATGACATCTTGAAGACTATAACTGCCTTATAAACCTTTAATTCACTAAAGAACAAACATACACAATAATTAATCTGAAGCATTCAAACTGAGGTGGCCCATCAACAACTGACTTCTGAATTGCAACTGAGTTATCTTCACTTTTCACATCTAAAAAAGCATTATTATGTTTATACACTAAGTAGCAGGTATGATTATCTGCAGTGTCTTTGGTAGCTGTTCCCCTTCTATATCATGTTGAAATATGGATAGCCAAGCACACAGCTAGTCATCAGTTGCAACCCCACACTTGTTACACTGACTCATTTCCTACTGACATCAAAATCATGCCTATAGCTAACCAGGTCTACTAATAATAGTGACACATCCTGGTTCCAGTTCTCAGAACAAGAATGTGTTCTACTTCAGCCTCACAATTCACTATTCACCTTACCTTACAGGTGAGTAAGAAGAAGTACAAAGGTTTAGTGATTAGTCTCAGAAGACTAGTAAGTGATGGAACAGAAGCAAGAACCAGCAGCATACAGCCCCTGCTGTAAGTCCCTCCACTCTCCCACATGCTGCCTCTGCCTGAAAAGCTTTGGCGCTCCATCAGTTACAATACTCAGCAGAATAAAAGTTGATCCGGACACACCCTCCAAAAAAATTCAAATAAATCCTTACTTGTTTACAAGTGGAATACTAAGTGCCCAGCCAGCAGCAAAGTCTGGATACTTAAAAACTGTAGGATTTTCAGAAAAGGCATAATGGTGAATTATTGTAGATTCTTCATCATGTAATGCTTTTCCTAAAAACCATTCCTGTTAAATAAAGACATAAAATATTTTTTAAAAAAGCCATTTCATGTAAGAAAAACAAAGCCATATCATTCGTTTTAGCTAATTAAATCATCAGAGCGATAGAGAATTAATGCAGATCACATACGTTTAAAGAATTTTAAGAAAAATGTAATAGCCATATGATAATACACACAGCATAATCTCTATATAAAGTAATTTATCAGATCATCAGAATAAACAAAATGTTAGTAATATACCATAAATATATAAAAATGGTATTTCATAGAATATTCCACAGCAAAAGATTTAAGGCAAAGAAAATAATGTTCCTATATGTCCCATTGAGGTTTGTAAAGAATTTGAAAAATTCCTTCAAAAATCAATGCCCAGTTTATTCACTTATTCATTCAATCAATTAACGTTGATGTTACCAATTCACATTTAACACATTACTCCACATTATTCCACACCAGGCAGGAACATAGTTTGTGCAATAGTGGAAAGACAGAAAATAAGCAAGTAATGAGATCAGAGAGTGATTGCAATGTGCTGATGGAAACAAAACAAGTGTGACTGGGGGACTACCCCAGAAAGAGAAAATTATCTGTGGTAACAATTGAACTGTGAATAAAATATCAGGGAGCCAGTAATGTATGCACAAATCTGAGAAGAACATTCCAGGCAGTTAGTACAAAGTCCCCTAGATAGAAAAAAAGCTTGAAACATTCAATGAAAAACATGCCCAGGTGGCTGGGTGTGGGGAAACATGACATGAAAAAGAGGCAGGAGACTGACCTGAGTGGGTGTTCTGGTGCCAGTGAAAAGAAGCACAGACTATTAGACAACAACAAAGGTAGACAGGATATGAGGGCTAATGTTCCAGAGAAAGGAAGCCCATTCGTGGGAACCCCACTCACCTCCTGTTACCCACAAGGAATTCACTGCTTCCCAGACCCAAGAACACCCCACAACTCAGAGCAGCCCCTAAGGACTTCTGAAACCCAGCTGAGTGGGGAGAAAGGTTGGAGCTGGAAACTGCCAAGAATGCCATAGAATTGTAAGGAAATCTCAGAGAAGTGAACCCAAAATTTTGTAAGTAATTTCCCTTCAACTGCTAGGCTGATCTTTCAATAGAAAGATAAAAAATAATGGAACATACCAGGAGAGGATAAAAAGCTGAGCAAAGTCCTCAGCAGCCCTGTGTTGGGGAGCCCAAGGCTGGAGTGCAGGCTCCCCCAGGAGACTGGGATCTGGGAGCTAGGGTAGTCTATAAACAGACCTACTCACGCAAGGTCTACAACCCAGAAAACTAAATCATCTTGTAGATAATCCGCAGCCTCTTCAATTTTTCAATAATTAGTGAAAACTTGCCAAGGATGCCAGGAACAAGACCAGACCAAAAACAAAGAAAAAGAGAAAGAGATTCATGGAGTTATCAAAAACAAAAACTGATCAGTATGTTTATGAAAATAAAAATTTTAACAAATAACTAGAATCTATAAATAAGAGTCAAATGGAAATTCTAAAACTGAAAAAGACAATAGCTGAGTTTAGAATTCAAGAGACTATTAGGCATTATAGAAAGAGGACAGTGTTCTGTAAGGTAAATCAATTAAAACACTCAGATTGATGCACCAAAAAAGGAGAAAAATACAGAAAGTAGCAGCAGAGCAATGTGGGCTACAGTGAAAAGGTATAAAATATGCAAAGTTCAAAACCCAAAACAGGTATAGAGAGAATGAAACTCAAAAAGTATTTGAAGAAATACTTAGAATCTTCTAAAAGAGACAAAACGTATCAAATCAAAGATTCAAGAAGCTCTGCAAATTCCAGTGAGGACAAATACAAAGAAAAGTATGCATAGGCAGATGTTGCTTGAAAAACCAAAGAGAAAAGCCTTAAAAGCAGCTAAAAGGCAGGGGAAGGACTTACACATTTCTTTTAAAGGAGCAAAATGAGATAACCAACTTTTCCACAGATGAGAGACAATGGAATGTCTTTACAGTGATATATGAAAATCTCTAGGTACAGAAATCTTTACCTGGTGGCATTACCTTTGATGTCAGAGCTGATGAGTGATGGGATCTGGTTACAGAGGCTACACTGATAGGATGGCAAGAGCAGAAACCAGGGCACCAGCCAGGAGGTCTCAAAATGGCAAAGGCAAGAGATGATGGTACTCTGACAAGAGTGCTAGCATTATATACGGAGAGAAGATGGGTGAGAGAAATACTGTAGAGCTAGACTCAAGTGGATGTACCACATGGGGCTGAAGGAAACAGAGGACCCACCCATGAGTCCTAGGTTTCCACATGAGCAACAGCAGAGACAGTGCTGCTGTTTCTGAATGGAAGACTGAAGACAGAAGGAGTTTAGAAGGGACATTATTTAATTTTAAGCATGCTGAGTTTGAGGTTCCTATTTGACAGGTAAGTGGAAATACTAAATCAGAAGTACGAAATAGTAGCAGGCTCACACCCTTGGTTCAGTCACTCTGCTCAAATGTGATCTGGTCAGTAAGGAATCCCCTCAACCCCATATAAGAGAGTAAGCACACCCCCAGTCTACCCTTTATCCCTCTTATAACTGCTTTGTTTTTCTCAACAGCAGTAGTTACTACCATCTGACATATTACTTGATTTTTTATCTCCCCTGACAAGAATAGCCCCTTCTTGTGGGCAGAGATTTTGTCCATTTTGCTTTCTGTCATATCTCTAGAATAGCTCACATGTAATAAGTGCTAACCAGATTCTTTTTAAATGAAAAGGGCAAACCCAGAGTTTAAAGGGCAACTATCCCCTAATTAATGAAACTAAGACCAAGTGTCACCACCATACTCCCCATTTCTTATCAGAAAATAAAAGCAGGAGGGTTACAGTACTAATTCTTAAGTGCCCTCTTCTGCTTGTGGTTGTGTCCCAGAAGCCTTCCAGAAAAAGCCACTGAATACAACGATATGTTCAGGTTCACAGATTTGCTGATGATTTTTTTTCTTGATAGTCTAAAGATATATTAAGTCATCGCTGAACAAAAAGAACAACAATAATAATAACAACAATAATAAATGGCCTCAACCTTTAGAGAGGAAAATTCAACATCTTTCTTTTAAATCGATAATACAGCTGTACTAAACACTAACCAACATGAAAATCGTCACATTTTACATGTCAAGTTAATATTGCTTGTTTAAAAAAAATAAACACTTCAATATGTTTCAGTACCTTCCTTATTTATTTTTTACTATTTTTTTTTTGTGTGGGACCCTCTCCAGTGGCCGGGGATTGAACTGGCGCTGCAGAGGCTACAGGCAGTCTCGCAACCCAGTGCTCAACCGCTGCGCCACCAGCAGAGGCCCTATTTTTTACTATTATAATTCTTCCCAACATAATTTCATATGGAATGTGTCATGTTTTAACTCCTGATGTCAGTGTTCAACTATTACCCACATACAAGATTGTTGTTGAGTCGCTGCAAGGGACTGTACTATATAAACTACTTTAAGGAAGAAATCAATACATAATCTGTGGGAAGGGGCACACCCCCATCTACCTTAATGGTTTTCTTAATAGTCTCATAAAAAAATATTGTTAAGACAAAACTAAAAGAATAATTCAAATGATGTTCTATTAGTATCTTAGAATAACTCTTTAACAGCACCCACATTCCACCTCTATTAAAAATTTAAAACGTCAAATGATGGGGCTCTGATCCCATCATTTCTTTCCCCTTGGTTAGCCTGGCATGCAAGTGGAATGCAAAGAGGGGCATTACTGTAAGAAAACACAAGGACATACCAAGGGTTGGTATTGGTAGGCGAGAGGATGATGGTTTTTGTCTCTGTCATTGTGTTTGGGATTGGTAGCTTTCATTGTAGTGTGGCTTTGCTGCTATTTTACTTAATTCTGGAAAAATGCCGAAGAGATGGAATGAGCTATAAAGTTTACAGATGCTCACTTCACTTGTCTGCAGGAGACGACTGAAAACAGACAATCCTGCAGTCCATGTCTTCATTTGTAAAATTCTCCTACTAATGGAGGACGCTGAAGGATTATGTGTGCAGAATTTCTAACAGAAGTACTTTATGTATCTATTTTGTAAATGCCTGTACAATTGGTTTGGATATACAACCAAAAATGTGATTGTCGAGAGAGAGAGAGAGAGAATGTGTGCCTGCTGCACACCATTATCTTTAAGTTCTCAGTATCAGTAAATGAGTAAGGTATTGGAGACTTTAATGAAAAGCCGCTGTTCAAGATTTTTGTAGCTACTAAACTGACTCTAATATTTTACTATTTTGTTTAAAAAAAGAAAAGCTGTAATTTATATCACTCTTCAACTTTATGGTATTTAATTGGCACAGAATTTTGTGCATGTGGTTTTTAGAACACAAACTGTCTAATTCAGAGTTTAAAAATACAAAATGAAATAAAGTAAGAATTAAAAAGTCAAGACACTTTAGCAAATGCACACTTATATTAAAAGCATACATGGGGGAAAAAGAAAGACATCAACAAGATATGGAAATTTATGAAAATCACCTAGAAAGGCAATTTAACAGATTAATTACTCTAATAAAGATTAAATTTTTCCATTCAAAAATATTGTATAACAGCATAAATTTGCATTAGTAAAAATGACATGAAGCTGCTGAAGGAAAAGAAAATGTCAGAATCAAGCAAAATAACTGAATCTCTAACACATTATATAATTATTATTTTAACATAGTTTATTTATATCGAAGCCAAAATCAGATTTGACTTATACTTTTTTCCTAAAATGTCAAATGGTATATGGAAAAAATACACTGGTTTGAGTTAACTTCAATGTTATATAATTTTTATTGCCTTAAGTTAGTTTCAAAAGAAATAAAGCATTCTAGATTTCAGAAAAGAGGGGGGAAAACAGTTCATTTTACCTCACTGAACTTGCTTTTCATGAACTTGCTTTGAACTTTTAAATTTATCATTCCAATTTTCATTAAAAAGCATAGTGAGTCACCATCTTCTGTACAGAATTAGAGCTATGGATAATGGAAAAATAATCTCCAGGTGAAATGAACACTAGGAGGTGATTAGAACTCCTACATCCTAAAAAAGATTTGGGAGTTTTTCTCAAGTCAAAAGGAAACATAAAAGCCTAACAACTGTTTTATATAAAATATGGCCAAAAAATAAAAAGGTATACAGATGTTGGTTAGCATCATCTGAAGACAGGGGATGAAAAATGTTCATAATTCTCTCTTTTGAGAGAATTATTTTTTTTAACCTAACAACTTTCTCATTCAATTTTATCCATATCTTCCCAGAAAAGAAAAGCATGAAGGCAAATCATAATGGATTCTGCTGACATTTAAAGAACATCAAGACCAGAGGTTTTACTAAGTAAAACTTTCCAGTGTTTGAGAAATCAATCTGATGACCACTGTTGCCCGACTTTTTGGGTGTACATCAGTAAACCCATAGGTACCCAGAAACCACCTTTCCTTCCCTATGTTCTTTTAAGACCTGACTCAGTACTGGAGTGGGCATCAGAATGTGGGTGCACATCAGAATGTGGGTGCACAGGTGTCTGCTGGCACCTGAAAGGGACCAATTCTGTTTATTCCAAGTTTAAGAAATTCTATAAAGTGATCAGAGTGTAACCAAGGCTTCCCCAAGAGAACTGAACAGCCTGACTTACTGGGAACACATTTCTAAGACAATCTTTCACATCTGCTAAGATAGTGAATATAGCCTAGCAGGAAAGCTGACCTTTGAGGGCTATGTATCAGTGTTAAACACTGCTCAGTGCTAGGATTTAGAAGTAAACATGAGCCATTTGCTAGAAGATATCTACACAAAATAAAATTTGAAAATATGAAAATAGCAGTGAACTTCCAAAGCAAGATACATCCCTTCTCACCTCCAGATTTTCTCAAATATTCCCTCTGCTTAGAGCACTCTCTCTCCTATTAACTTCTATTAATCTTACAGGACTCAGGTTAAATGTCACTTCCTGTCATGACCCTCCCAGACTAGGCCTGAAGCCCTGCTATGTGCTTCTAACTCTATGTTTCCCTTATTATAAGATGCCTTGCTTTTAGCTATCACTGCTTCTTTAATGCTCCACCCTCACCCTACTAGTCTATACCATTCATGAGGTCAGGATATTTATCTGTCCTAACCCCTGCTATCCATAGTGCTGCTATCCAGTTGGTACTAAAAATATTTCTTATATAATAATATGTGGTCATTGCTGCTAAAGAGAAATAATCAATTTTAAACTTATTTCTTAACTCTTAGAATATAGCTTTTAAATTCTCTGAAATTGTGAAACACAAATTAATATTTCATTTAAAATGGCTCATTGTAAGTTCTATCTCTCTTAAAGCTACACACCTGAAAGAGAATTATTTAATATTGCTTCCAGATATTCAAGTATTGCTTCATTCTTTTCAATTTTGAATTCAGTGTTTTTTTAGATTGAATCAAAATCAAATCTTTGTTTACTATTTTCCCCATAAGACAAATACTGGCATTGAAAATTCATTCACCTTTGATGGATCATATCTTCTGAGTGTTTTTAAGAGTTTCGGAATTTGTATTCTTGTCTCTTCTTCACAGAAGAAAATCCATGATGAATTTCTGCTATATGTTACAGAAAAACTGACAAAAAGAAAGTAGTTTATAGTAACCACTTCTACAAAGTGAGATTATAATAACGTATATTAAAACTAATAATCAAGAAATGGATGAAGAACATACTTATTGACAAGAAATCTAGATTCTTTTCTCTATATTTTTATTTTTCTTCAGTGTATAATTTCAGTTCCTAGAAAAGGCAGCTTATAAAATAGCTTATAAAATAGCTACAGAATTCTTAAGGTTAATTCTTTCCATAACAAAACCAGTTCAGAAAACAGATAATTTCCAAATATAAATATCAAATACATTAACATTTTATCTCCTACAAATGAAATATATTTTGTTTTCCATTCATGAAAAGCCATTCATAATTAAAAATCAATCAAGACATTTGCTTAATGTAGTCATCATAAAAAAATAGAGTTCAAATTTACTTCCTTTATTATCAGAAAACCACCCCTTTTTAATAAGAAAAATATGAAGCATACAGTGTTGAGATAAAGATGTCAGTAATTTACACATTTGGAGTTGAACATACTGTGGTAACAATGGAAGTATGGTCCATGCACCTTCCTGCTTAGCCAGCTGATGAAGAAGGAGGACTGTGGGGAGTTCCTGAAGAAACAATTATCAAAGAAGAGAAATGTAACACAATATTATCACTAAAATTAAAAAAAGATTATTTTTAAATGCAGGTATTTACAGAGACATGACATTTTAGCTTTACACCAGTCTCCTTTTCCTTCTCTTCAGAAGTTACTAGAAAAGAAGAATCTACACAACCTCTCCACCACTAAGTAGTGCCTAGCAGAGCTGACAGGAAATTTGCAGATTTGCAAAGGTTACAAGAACAAAAGAGCAGGAACACTCAGAGGCATAACAAGAGTTCTTACTGCAAACACAATGTAGGTAGCAAATGGAAAATGAAACACTTCAGGTAAAAACAGGACATAATACCTAATTTACTTTATGTGAAAAAAAAAAAAGACTTTTTTTTTTCTTTTTTTCTTTTTAAGATTTATTTTTTATATATGCAAGCACTGGGTACAGTCAGAAGTGTGGGAGGGTGAAAGAATTCACCAGAGCCAGAGCGGGTAACAGAACAGGCAGACTGACGAAATACACTGCTGAGGGGAGCAGTGGGCGCTGCGAGAGAGGTCTGCACACCATGTGGGACCCTCGCTGGCGGCCCGGGATTGAACCGGTGCTGCAGAGGCTATGGGCAGCTTTGCAGCCCAGTGCTCAACCACTGCGCCACTGGGGGAGGCCCAAAAAAGACATTTTCTGAAGTGTCCCAAAGAAACTGAAACACCATGCCAATGAAGAGCTTGGGCTCTAATTACTAGAAATACAATCTGTAAGTATTCAGGCAACAACAGTAATAGCTTAATGGTGAAATTTCGTAACTGATAAATACAGAAGCAACTAATATTCAGAGATATGACACAACTATATATTTACATGTAAATATATATGTGTATATAGAGAGAGAGATGGAGAGATTAATATTCTTAAGGCTATGAATGTTAGCTTTGTAGCAAAGCTCTATACACTATATTTCAAGTTGTTACAAGTCACAATATCTAATAAGCTTGAACACCCCTCTTTCCAACAAACTTCAGTATATTCTGTGTTTTATACTAACTCTTAACCTGGTAACTGTTATAGACAAAAGACTTTAAGAATAAATGTTTAGGGCCTCCCTGGTGGTGCAAGAGATTGAGACTCAGCACTATGAAGCTATCCCCAGACACTGCAGCACGTGTTCAATCCCCCGCAGGGAAGTGACCCACATGGCACAGCAGACCTCTCCTGTCTCACTGGCTGCTCCCCTCAGCAGTGTCATTCAGTACATCTGCCTGTTCTGCTCACCACTCTGTCTCTGGAAAATCCTCTCACCAACCCCCCATCTCCAACCTGCACCCCAGCTATTGTATGCATAAATAAATCTTTAAACAAAAAAAAAAGAATAAATGCCTAAAAAGATAGTAAATGCAGATGGACCTCTGAAAGTAGAAACAAAATTAGTTCAATTTTTTAATTTGAAGGTTACATTTTACATTAATATTAAAGAACTATTATGCCACACTCATACTTGGGGAGCTACACAATGAAAGGTAAAAAATATTATAGGAAACATTATGTTTAACTTTGAATGTCATGAGAGATGATAGAGGTATAGGTAATGGGGACATAGTGACATGAGTGAGAAGGTTTGAAGTTTGCAAATGAAAGAAAAGTATTAAGAGTAGTAATGTTGTACCCATATTACAATGTTATATTAAGACTTGTGATGTTTGAAATATAACTCCAAGACCAATTCACAAGATACTACAAGGCTGATGTATATTGCAAGGGATATTTCACTTTTATTTCATATGAAAGTTATGTTTATTCTTATAAGTCTTTTTAGAAAATTGGTATCACAGCACTGCTGGCATATTTATACTGTGACTTCAAAGGTCTACCATCTCTATTCTTTAAAAAAAAACAACTTAATTATCTTTCCTACTTAGAATAGTGCTTGTTACATTGTAATAGAGTAACATGAGCTCCTAAAAAAAGAATGCCTAAATATTTGAAATGTTATGATGCTAAGTAGATTCCACAAAAGTTTCTCTAAGTTTATCATTTAAGAAGAAAAGAACATTTCAATTTCGCTAATTGTAATGTTCTTTTCTTCTTAAATGATAAACTTAGAGAAACTTTTGTGGAATCTACTTAGCATCATTACCATGGAATATTACTCAGCATTCAAAAAAGATAAACACATGCAATTTGCAGCAACATGGATGGCGCTGGAAGGGATCATGCTCAGTGAAATAAGCCAGAAAGAAAAAGAAAAATACCGGATGGTCTCACTCATAGCAGGAATCTCGAATACTTAAATAAGGGACCAGGAAAACGAATAACTATAAGAAAGTGAAAATCAAAATCAACAAAAACTATGAACCAGAGACACTTTTTGGGGGTGGGGGGGCGGGAGGGGAGGGATTGGGGTCAGAATGGGGGGATTGCAATTGTATGGGGAATATAAAAATAAAATTTATTAATTAAAAAAAAAATTCTGGACAGCATTGTGAAAATAAATAAATAAATAAATAAATAAAAGTTGTTCTGGATAATCACAGGAAAAAAAAAAAAAGAAGAAAAGAACAGGTTTTTTTTTTTTTGGAAAGATTTATTTTATTTATTTATGCATACAAGAGCTGGGGTATAGGCCAGAGGTGGGGGGTGGGGGGGCGGCGGGGGAAGCAAGGATTCACCAGAGACAGAGTGGGGAGCAGAACAGGCACATTGACTGAAATGCACTGCTGAGGGGAGGAGTGGGTGAGACAGGAGAGGTCTGCTGAGCCATGTGGGTTAGCTTCATGGTGGGAGATCAAACTCGTGCTCCAGTGGCTGCTGATAGCTTCACAGTGCTGAGACTTAACCCCCTTGCGCCACTAGGGAGGCCCAAGAACAGTTTTTAATATAAATCTTTGGAGTGAAGTATCAAATAAACCTCAACTCCATATTGTATGTGGTATTTATCTTCACTCCCATGTACTAATAGGAAATGCAAAAAAAAAAAAACAAAAAACACAACGAACAAAGGTTATCAGACTAACAATGTAGCATGTTAGGGAAAAGAATGTAAAGGCTGAATGAGCAGTTACCCAATACATCCAGGGCATTTCTACTGCTGATTTCCTAATTATGCAGTAACTCATTGTCTTGGAAAAATTTATACAGGGCCTCCCCGGTGATGCAGCGGTTGAGTGCAATGCTACAAAGCTGTCCGCAGCCTCAGCAGTGCCATTTTGATTCCCCGCCGGCCAGGGAGAACCCCACATGGCTTGGCAGACCTCTCCTGCCTTGCCCGCTGCTCCCCTCACCAGTGTCTTCAATCAGTCTGCCTGTTCTGCTCCCCGCTCTGGTGAATTCTCTTACCCTCCTGCACTTCCGATCTGTACCCCAGTTCTTGTATAAAATAAATAAATAAATCTTTTAAAAAAATTATACAGACACACACACACACATATATATATATTCATATTCATGAGGGATTGTATAAGAACAAAAACCATGTGTGAAGAAAACTAATATATCTGCATAAAGTTGAAGTATGGTAACATGTGAATATGAACTAGCTAGAAGAGAAATAGCAAATATTTTTAAATGTTTTATAAAAAGTGGCAAATGAGTTACTGTATAGCAACTGAAATTATAATGATGAAAATTTTGTAACACTAGAAACATCTTTTTTTAGAGAAAAACAGCCTAATAAATACAAGACTAAAATAAACTATGGATTACTAGTACAATAAAATCATTCTTATCTGCATTATTCTGTTTATTAAACCATATGCCTGGATTTCAGATTTGTTTCAGTAGATTAAAACACAAGTCGTGATAAAGTTGTTCTGTAACCCTAAATTACCAAATAGAAACATTTCAAAAACTAGTGTGCTATGATAACAGCCTCCAAGGGTATGTGAACACCTCTGTCTGAAAAATATAAGGTAGGTTCTACCTCAGCACTCAGAAGCTTTTAACTTCTTGATTGAGCTAAGGTCACTTTAATTTTAAATAAATTTTCATCTACTAATCCTTAAAAAGACCCAAGAGCTTCCATGTTAAAAACATATTTATATACATACCGATATGTATGTGCATGTATGTGTGTGTGGGTGTGTGTATGTGTATAGAACACAGGTTAGAGAAAGCAAACCTAAAGGCTAATTAGCAGTTTATGAATATATCAAGGGCTTTCATGCTGTTGATTCTGAATAATGCAGTAGTTTCACTGCCTTTTTAAAAAACATATATATGTATTTCATATTCATGAGGAATATGTATATATATATATATATATATATATATACACACATACTCTATGCATGAATGCACATACAGACTCAGACACACATACATATTAATATGTTTCAGCACATCTAACATAAAATAATTTAAAAGGTCACAATAAAATTTTCCATCAAATGATCGTATCTCAATTCTAACCACTTGGAATTATAATAATTTCAGCTCTTTCTATCTGTTCTATCTAATACCACAAGATTTAGACCTCCTCAAAGATGCCACGTTACCAGTTTATAGTACTTATAAATGCAAAGCAAATTTTTTAATAAGTAATTGATTGGATGATTGAGAAGGAATTTTCAAATAAAAATCCAAGGGGAAAATAAGAAAATGTTATGTTACCAAAAGTATTTAAAGTATGTCATAATAAAGCCACACATGCATGCGTTTCTGTCTGTTGTCAATCTAAATGTCCAGTCACAAATCATACTACTAAGTCAAACTTAGTATGACTTAATTCTACCAATAATGACAAAATTCTACCAATAATGAGAGAATACCATAACAGAGGCATAAAAGGACTAAAAATACAAATGATCAAATGTGGGTAAATGACAGAAAAGGGAAAGAAAATGAAAAAACTAATCACAGTAACTCAAACTTCTTATGTCAGCTCTATTTGTCTCACTGAACCAAAATCTACCTTTATTTCTATCATCAGCATCTACTAATATCCTACTAAGCACTTTGAAGTAAGAAAGCCTACTGAACTGAATTCAGTCAGCACTTTCTTAGATCATATTTTTTATCAA